AATAAAAATACCACACATAGCAGATCGCATGCCTAGATGCAGAACGCGAAAATTCCTGAACCAATATTACCCACATCGATGTTGCATAGTGGCAGAAGTTTAAAATGTTATACTCCAAGAATATACAGGGTGACTGGTGAATTACTATCGATACTTGAGGACGTGATACTTGACGATTATATATGACAAAATAAAAATTAATATAACATAAATATTAATAAACTTCTAAGTAAAGTTAACCAAAAGTTATGTAATTCATTACGCATCGTGTGAACACCCTACAGATTAGGTATACACACACACACGCGCGTTTGGCGGCGTGGTGTTTTATCAGCACGCCACCGTACGCGTCCACACTTGGAACACTTGGAAAGTGTCCTCACTTTATTTATTTATACGGAAATTTAGTCAAAAATTAAGTACCTATTTTTTTTACATAATTCGAATGAGAATCATGTACCGAGTATTCTCCTTAAATATTGATAGTAATTCACCAGTCACCCTGTATATTGAGAAAAACATGAACACCAATAAGTCACAAAATTAGTAGGTCCGAACAAATTACGATTCCTTCCAGAACTTTCGAATCTAAAAACACAGTTTTCGATAAAAAGCGTAGTGAAGGCTATGAACTCCGTTATCGCTTTATATAAGCAAGGCAATACACATATTTTTTTGCTGTATTAAATAAAATTATATTATATTTATTATAATTTAATTAAATTATACTGTAACCAAATGGTTTGAATAAATAAATATCGCGATATTATGAACGAAGATAACATTTGTCCTTATATAACATATTTTAATTTACAATTAAGTATTGCGTCTATGTAAAATTTTAATTCAATCGACGTAAAATGTTTGTTTTAGCTAAAATTATTTCCGTAATTGCAGGTAGTTAGTTACAATTTTCTGAGATTATATTATCTCTTTTTTTCTTATAATTGTGTTTATCTCTATTTGTCTCTTATGATAATATAATTAAAGATATGAAAATATTATTAACAGAATACTTAAATTCTGTTTACATTTTAAAAGCCGCTGAAAGCCATTAGTGGAATAAAATTATTGACAAGCGTATTATGTAGACATCAACTCATGTTTGTCAGCGATAATGTTGTAGAGGCAAATTTTTTTTTTTACCAAACATTCACCTTGAAAGTATGAATTTTGTGAATATATACACTAATTAATTATTCGACAGCTATATTATAAATAAAAATATAAGTAAGCCTCGCTAAACGTTATCAAACCCCATGTAATATAAACAGTGGGATCTGCATAATGAATAATTAGGTATGTGACAGGTGACCTTGCGGGGTCATTACCGTTTGAAGAGGCCGCTCACCATAGACCGACCCTTCACGAATAATAGGACCTTCCCGTAACCCGAAACTTATTACTTCATTAGTGTAATGGCGCATATTGACAATTTAAATTGCCTACATTACATAATACATACAACAAATCTATTTGAAATTGTTTTTTTATCATCTAAAATCCAAATAATATCTCGAACAACATTACATAGTTTGTATGGAGTATAATGTTGAAATACTTATTGTACATATTTTAATTTCCCACGACCTGCATCTTCCTCACGTATTAACAGTAAGTACATACCATATATACTGTTAATGTATGAGAAAGATCCAATTGTCTTCAAATCATGAAACTTAAAATAATGTCTTGTTCGGGCCATCGAATTAAAAACCTTCTTTAATAAAGTAGTAAGTACCTATCTTACTACTAAGTAAGGTACGTCTCTTAAGACAAAACAATAACTATTAGTTAGTATCTTATATTTTTAAAACATCTACAATTTATTAAGTTTCTGAAAACCATTTATTACATATAATTAAGCCATATTTTCATTTAAGTATATTTTATCACCGTATATAACGCTATATAGATTATCTGTACAAATAAAGTGTTAGAGGAAAGACCTACATGAGTGCACAACTATAGAGTTTTTAACACATAAAATAACTACTATGTAGATTAAAATATTTTATATAATATGGCTATCTTCATATGTTATAAAGAACAGCAACTATTTTTACAATCACTACACTGCGTGTTCAGTAACTTATCTCTTTGTTTTACGAAAACATTTTTAATATATCACAGAACGAGGACAAAGTTCCGGGTATCAACTAGTTTTCTCATGAATACCTGCCCCTTAGTGTCAACAACACCTTGTTCATGCAAAAAGAATCCTTTAGGAGATGTCTTGTAATTAGAATGCTAGTCGTGATCGGTAGTCATGCTGCACTTTCTATAGCATACAATGGACTATACCAAAAAAACTAATATAACTATAATATACATATAAATAAGGTATAATATTGAATACCAACGAACATCTGATAATGACTAACATCTAAGGACAAAGAACAGTTTCGAGACAGACAACAGCAGTATATCGATTGTACCGACACAGGTGAAATACGCATTAGTAACAAAGCTTTTATTAATTATATAATCAAAATAAACACATTTTATAACTGCTTATTGAACTTAATTATGCAACTATAAAGATTGGCACTACAAAGTAAATCGTTGCCTGTATTAACTTTTATTGCATAGTCTGTGACATTTGACAGTTTTACCACTGACAAGTGACGCTTTGTCTGCGTAATCGGTTTTAAGATTAAAAATTTTAATTTTCATTGTCTTAATATTAAGTAACATATGTATATCACTAGCTTTCCGTCAACAGTTTCGCCCGCGTGGAGTTTGGTTATATCGCGTTTCCAAGAGAACCTTTCAAAAGTCTGTGATAAAAACTATCCCATGTTCTTTCTTAAGGTCATCTCCATCTCTGTACCAAATTTCATTACAATCAGTTGAGTGGTTTAGGCGTGAAAGCGTAACAGACAGACAGACAGAGTTGCTTTCGCATTTATAATATTAGTAGGGATTTTTCAATCTAAATCGAATGATTTTCCTTACCCATCAGTATATTTATTATACACATTGAACGTTGTCAGTATACATCGTGCATATGTTTCGTATTTGTATGAGGTCAACTGGTGTCTTGATATCAGTTCGTTGTAAACGCCTATGACCTCATATCGCGATATCAAGCAGATGGTTGACCGAATTTTCATTGTAACCAACTAAAATCACTGCCCTAGATACAGTACAATGCCATAAAATATAATAAATTATTAGTATAACTAACATTGTATCAATACTCTAATTTTTCCATACGTTCGACTGTTCAAAGCTTCTATATGTTTTAGTATGATTTGTTGATAAGTTGTAAATACTAAATGCTTTATATGTACACAGCAACCTTCATAGTATGTTTTTTTTTTTATAACATAAAGCCTGGTACATTTATAAAGTCCTATCCATAATGAAATAAATGAATCTAGTTATATCAGTATTTTTTCTATAAAATCGAACCAGCTTACTATATGTGTCACACAAATCAAACAAGTTATGTATAATGTATTACCTTCGCTTAGTATAGAATATTTACTGTAAGAGAAATATTGAAATTTATTTTAATATAAAAGCGACAGTAACTTTGTCCGTTCCTCTATTGTTTTATACAAGTTTAAACTTTCAAGGTTGACGAGGTGGAGAAAAATCAAATATTAATTTAAACGTAGAAACTATAAAGTCGATAAAATAATCACTTATTGTGATTTAGTTACCCATTTACTCTCTATCCTAATTTTCCTTCATAGTGTCTGTAAGTTTTATGAATATCGTTCCAGACAGTTAGGTATCAGCGAAATGACTTCATCAAATAACAAATCTTTAAAAAATCTCAGTATATAGAATTCATCACGATTCATATTTAAGAAATCCGATCCAATGTTTTCTAATGGCCGATCAAATGACGTCACTGTGATTTAAATGAAGAAAAATTCATCGACTTATCGTAATTGAAATCTAGTATGTACTTTATAAAAATAAAAATCCCATCTCCTTAATAAATTACCCCAACCAAATAGTATTGTGTCTATAAAATGCCAAATAAAATGCGTATTAGTCACTAAGGACTAACATACGGAGCGATTTAGTCTGCGAATCTTTTATATTTTTATGAACGTACCATATTACTTACTTAAGTACCCAATTTAACCAGCTTAGAAACTGTATTTATAACCTGAATTGTCCTCCATTTACCTCAGATTCAATGTTATATTACTACCATAAAAATATATAGGACATTCTAATATAATACTAACATGATATGGTGTAATATACGATAGTAAAATATAGTTTAATTGGCCGTATTTAATAAAGCAAGTGCAAGATGAATCAGTGTGACGATGACCCCACTACGGTCGACCAACTCGTCATTTATTGAGATGTACGTGTTAGCCATACTGTCTACAACTTCATTAATATATATTATACATACATATACATATGTTCTTAATAGAAAGTTATGTTTCATATCTCATACAGCTTTAATTGGTGTTACGTAGTTACTTACACAATATAATTATTTGCATTCAAATGAATATATTATGGTTTTTTTTTATATCGTACTAGGCCGTACTAAATGGTCTCAGATCCGCTTTCTAGTAACGCATCCAGTTACTGTGTCTAACAGCTTTATAATATGAATGTTGTGTGGTAAAAAACACATTAATAATTCCTTTTACAAGTTACGTAGACGGATTAAATAAATGTTAGGGAATCTGTAATGGCAGAAAGTTATGACTCATTCTCGTTTATACATACATTACATTCGAGGCGTAAAAAATTTGGCACTTTGTAAATATTTTTTATACCGTTTTTAATAATGATCAATAAAGAAAAACTTTATATTTTAAACAAAATACTTCAATAAGATTCATAATGTTAATTATTTTTCCTATTCCAAGTCGTATTTTCTTGCCTTCGGTTTACAAAGGAAGTTTTTTATATGTTTCAATTTAACCTAAGTTTTAGCTACTGTTATAGCTCATTATATTTTCTAACATGTCCAGTTCTAGTTAATACAAAGCAATAGAATACACACAATGCGACTATTGAAGGTGAATGTCAGACAGCAGGGCTGATGGAGCGCATACTAATGTAGATACTTTTACTAGACAGGTGTTGTGACCATTGTGTTGCAGTCCTTGGTTTTGTATCTGAGTATTTGTATTGTGAAATATTGTCTGTAACAAGACCTATAACAGACGAAAAACTAACATATATATTACTCCAACAATTAATAATATTTAAGTATTATAATTTTCCATATTCAGATAATCATCAGTTTTTCAAATGATTTTCATATCCAAATATAAATTATAAATACATTTGATGAAGGCTTATAGTTTAATTTCCTTGTAACACTCGATGGAGCTTGCTACATTATAGTCCAGTCATTATAGTAAGTTCACCTCGGAATTCGAGATACCCAGCTGTAAGTCTGTAAATAGTTGTATATTGACACCCTAAAAGTTGTCTCAAAACCTACATATGGTAGGGTGTAAGCAACTATTAAATTTCAGGGTCAAAGTTCACTAAAATCGGTTTTTTGCGCTTTTTTTGGAAATATCTCATTTCCTATGGGTTTTTTGCTATTTGTATTTATTATCGATATTGTAGAATACTAAATTCTCTACAAATTTTGTTTCAAAAAATTTTTTATACGGTGTACCGTTTTCAAGATAGAGGGCGGAGAGCGCGCATCAACATTTATTATCAAGTTCAAACTTGGTTAGGACATGATTTGGAACCCCAGGTGTGGGGTTGGGCAATGCGAAATGATTTTCTGAAGCCTATCATGACAATTTTACCACCTGCTCCAGAAAATTTGCTAAATACAACTTTCTGCAACTGCAAAAGTGGTTGTGGTTCGCGATGCGGATGCAGGAAAGCGGGCTTGCAATGCTCTTTAGCTTGTGGCCAATGTAATGGGCAAGCTTGTCTCAATGCTCAACCATATCAGAGCGACATTAACGAAGATGGAACCTTTGATCCCAAAATCATGGAAGAACTTGAGACAAATGTCGTTGAAGACGATAATGAAGACCAGTTGGAAATTTACCAGCAGCCAGAAGACGACGATGAAGAGGAAGAAGATGTTTAAAATTATAAATTGTAGTTTTTGTACCCTTTATTCCATTTTTTTACTTTCAATAAAAAATAATTTATTCAATGATATTTTTTAATAATAAGATTAATTCATAATTTATTTGTTTTTTTTCATCATGTAAGAAGTTATTAATATTAATTAGGTTTAAATTCAAATATAATTCTTATATTTTCATTAACAATTCTGCAATTACGTGGACAGGTAAGTGTTGTTAAATAAATTAATACTGAATAAAAAGTGGATAAGTTAGGAAAAAAATGATAAAATATAATATAATAGTTAATAAAAATTGACAAATATTTCTAATCATTGATTTATTGATAGTTCATCAACTATATATGGCGCGTTTTCGAACGGAGGCACCGGTTGACCTGAAGTGATGCGGTGACCGCGCGCTCTCCGCCCTCTATCTCGAAAACGGTACACCGTATAAAAAAATTTTTGAAACAAAATTTGTAGAGAATTTAGTATTCTACAATATTGATAATGAATACAAATAGCAAAAAACCCATAGGAAATGAGATATTTCCAAAAAAAGCGCAAAAAACCGATTTTAGTGAACTTTGACCCTGAAATTTAATAGTTGCTTACACCCTACCATATGTAGGTTTTGAGACAACTTTTAGGGTGTCAATATACAACTATTTACAGACTTACAGCTGGGTATCTCGAATTCCGAGATTCTTACCTAATTTAAGCTTAAATGACTGGACTAATTATGTTATCTCGTATTACAATACGTCATTAAACAAACTCGTATAAATAATGGGACAATTTACTTCAATGTCGTTGCTTCCGTTTAATTTGCTGTATGATATCTAATATAGCGTCCACGTAAAATCCCATCACTTTATTTCTACAATGAGATTAGAACGATTGCTTCTAATAAAGCGTTTATCTTAAGCCATCTCATATATTGCACGAGTTCACTTCGATGTGGTCACATGTTGTGTATTGTTGACGGAAAATAGCACACATACACGTGACTGACGTAATATAAGTCTCGTGGAGCTATCACCTTGAATTATATGTGCAAGCCTTATTTTCTGACGGATGAAAAATTTGTGCTAACTATTGACACAACTTGAGACTTACACGTCTAGTCCTTAAAGAGTTTATATGGTTTCAGGAAGAAATCTTTCAGCAACTATAAAATGTATGAGCTTATGACTATAATAGTTGTCCTATGAAAAAAAATACCATATATTAGATCAAACACTTATTTATATCATACTTTTTGTTACAGATCCTGATGTATCTGAAATTACAATAGGCTGAACCAAGTGAAGGTAAATATTAAAAACGAAATTTCATTCGAATAAACATAATTATATTAATTAATTTTCTGGTCTCCATTCCTACGTAAAAAGAAAGATAAAATTCTGTTTTATACATTTTTATAAAACCTTTTTAACTATGTAAATTAAGAACCGTTATTCATCGTTTGCCGTTATACATATACATATACAGGAACATTTATCATTCACAATGGTCCTTGGTATTGTATGTTCTGTAATTATTTTTTTTCATATGTGGTCCCCAAAATGCTTCTTGGAACTTAATGAATAATAAAATAACAACTTGATTCACCGTTCATCTTAATTTTTTAGCCCGCAACTGTTTACGTTTTTTTTACTTGCAAAAGTGGCAGGTTGAAAACATAAATAAATATCTGATTATTTTATTGATTTAATAAACACATACGCAAATATGTTCCTAACATTATTTAAATAATATTATTTAAAACGTAATTTGTTTATAAACTGCCGACAGATATATTCTTATTCTATTATCTTTTCAGAAGATTAATGGATTTTCTTTATTCAGACTAATCACAACAGCTCGTTTTCAAACACCCACGGCATTGACGCAATGCGTCTCAAAAATAGACAAATAATTACAGAAAACGTTGTAACTTTAGTACAGTTAAATAGAATCTATCGGATGGAGGTTCGGACATTGTTTATGTGAGACAGTGACGAACTATTTCGATTCTTTAAAAATAATAAAAAAAAATTGAGATAACACTTTTCATTAGCTATTGATTTAATTCCAAATTATTATTTGGATCAGAAACACGCAAAATAATTACATATTAAAAAGAAATTGCAAAAAAATCTTGTTTATTTTTCAAAATTAAAAGTTAAGATCTCACGTCAAAGGATTTCTGAGTACCAAATAAAAATACGTAGGCTGTAAAAACAGGGGATGCATAAGAGTATTGGCCGAGTGAGTCAGCGGTCGTCTGTAAACCGGTCTACCGTCTAAAGGATTCGATGTTGCTTTACTTTACAACAGGAACTAAATTCTATACAAGACAAAATACATATTTTTAGTCTCTACTCTACTTCCAAAGAAAATATTTTTTAAATTCTCATTAATTAGACTTAATACAAATTTTGGTACTCATTCATAATTACTATTTTTTCCTACGTTATGACTATTATATATAAGTAATAAAACAAGACTATTTTCTTCATAATTTGTCATACAAAGGTATTTATCAACGAGCTGTCACTAAACCTAAAGAAACAACCTTCATAATGGAAGTCCCAAGCCATTGTATCGACCGTGGTAGCGTACCACCTATTGTAACCTTGAACGCACATATAGAATATAGATTCACATTAAACAACCCAAATATATAGCTACACGAATAAAAATTTATCAGAAACTCTCAAACACGGTGTTGTATGAATCTCGTTTGTGATATCCGTACATATATTCCAAATAATGAATCAATCCCTACTAATATTATAAATGCGAAAGTAATTGTGTTTGTCTGTCTGACTGTTACGCTTTCACGCCCAAACCACTGAACTGATTTTAATGAAATTTGGTACAGAGATTGAGTTGACCTTGAGAAAGAACATAGGATAATTTTTATCGCAGACTTTTGAAAGGTTCTCTTGAAAACGCGATATAACCGAACTCCACGGGGGCGAAGCTGCGGACGGAAAGCTAGTAAAGAATATTTCTCATTGCCAACCCTATATTACCTCATAGTTATATCAATAACAAAATTTAATTACTATCCGATATATCAATCCAATTATAGATTCAAGGTGTTTCGTATTGTTAATTTCTATTATAGATGTAATTTAATTTAGGAATTCAATAACTACCTTCATATTGTTAATTATAAATGTTACCAGTCACCAGTACGTCCCCGTATTTTAATAGATTTGTGAATTTGGCACCTATCCGAGTCTGCAAAGTTATTACATAACTATGCAGGTATAGCTCGTTTTCATTTTGTCTATATTCGGACAATATTTAATTTGCAAAAACAAGACAAAATACGGTTCTTTACAATTTTATAATATTGCTAATTATGTATATCCATAAATATCAAATCAAATCAAATCAAATCAAAAAATCTTTATTTAGACATACACAGTTAACATATAAAAAAAAACAGTATAAAAAAAAATAACAACGAGAAAGTGATGCCTAAATTGGTAGGCCACTCAGCTTATGTTGAAAATCATTATCATGACTTTCAACGCTGGTATTCTGTGGCTGCCAGTACCTACGCACGCCACGTCGCAGGTAGTGAGAAAAAAATAATAATAATAAAAAATAAAAATGTGTATAATAGCTAAGAACAAATAACCTAACAAAGAATATTATTGGAAACTAGAATAAATATACCTAAGACATAAAAGCTACAGTGGGTAAGTTACAAAATAATATTTCTTAATATCATCATAAAATGGTTTTGTGAGCGACATTATTGTGTTATTCATATAGTGGCCACATTAATAAGGTAAGAATTTACACACGACCAACGCACGGCACACATAATGTATAATATGTTTAATTAAGACTGAGTTTGTAAATTCATTAAATGCATTTTAAATTTATTTCTAAATACATTTGTTGTTTTTAGGTTTCGAAAAGGTGGCGGCAGGTTATTCCAGCACTTTGTCGCCGTGTAAATAAAACTACCTCGGAAGGCTGCGGTCTTAAATAGTGGCATGATCAACGAGTATGGTGAGGCTCGTGTTTCGTGAGTTAGCCTCTGTTCGCAAGCCCATTTTAATTTGTGATAGAGGTATGGGGGCATTTTGTAATTCACTATCCCGAACAATAAAGTCGCGAAGTGTAATTGTCTGCGATAGTCCATCTTCAACATCTTAGCAGAGTTCAAAAATGGCGTAACATGTGAGCGTGGTGGAATATTAAAGCAGTATCTAGCACAGGCATTTTGTACTTTTTGGATAAGATTCTTAGTACGCACAAGCAACCTAGGACCTGTTACTATGTCAGCATAGTTTAATTTTGATAATACAAGAGCCTCGCATAAATCTACTCTTAGTTTAGGTGTTATATATTTTCGTATTTGATATAATAGTTTTAAACGATAAAAACAGTTACTAATAGAGAGCGTAATGTGTTTATCAAATCGTAGATTCTCATCCATTACTACTCCCAGATTGCGTGTTTCTGTGACACGTTCGACCTCAATGTTATTTAGTTTTATAGTTGGTGAAAAGATTGCAATTTTCCGTATCTGAGTTGGCGTACCCAAAATCATGAATTTGGTTTTCTTCGGATTTAACATTAAACAATTTGAATTGGACCATGCAGTAATTCTTATTAAGTCTTCATTGAGCTTATTTAAAGCTATGTGTAAGTCTGTAGGTTTAAAAGATATGTATAATTGTACGTCATCGGCATAAATATGATAATTACAGTGTTTAATGGAATTTATGATATCGGCACAATAGAGAGAAAAGAGCACAGGCCCAAGGATCGAGCCTTGTGGCACCCCTCTTGTGGTAGCTCTACTACTGGAAACACATTTAGACCCATCCTCCCGAGTTACTTCTACGACCTGTGACCTATTATTGAGATAACTGTCAAACCATCTAATAGTGTCTGTGCTGAATCCGTAATAATGGAGCTTGGCTAATAATAATGTTAAATTTATAGTGTCAAATGCACGTGAAAAGTCGAGAAGTACCAATATGGTGCCTTCTCCGGAATCTTGTGCTCTTAATATATCGTCAACTACGTTAGCTAGAACTGTAGAAGTACTTCTACCTTTTCTGAATCCTGACTGAACACATGGAAGAATGTCACAACTTTCTAAATATTGAGTAAGTTGAGAGCACACTACTTTTTCTAAAACTTTTGATAGGGTGGGTAGAATACTAATGGGCCGGAAGTCACTAATATTTTGGGGGTTGTCAACTTTGGGAACGGGTTTTACAATTGCTTTCTGCCATAGTTCAGGAAAGGTGCTAGTCCGAATAGACGTATTTACAATATTTACAATGGTATCCGAAATATACGTCAAACCACATAAAATCATATCTATAGAAATACCATCAGCTCCTATCGCTTTAGATTTAATACTCCGTAGAGTTTTTAGAATTGTTATCTCGTCTACCTGTTTTAGAACGAAGCAATTGGAGAAATGTCTATTTTTCGTGTAGTAATGTATGTCACTAGATGCCACGTCACTATTTCCGGGCAAGGTTAGAAAAAATCTATTAAAATTATTCGGTTCTGACAAATGATCTGGTAGGCACGTGGTATCCCGTTTTTTCTTATAGGCTAAAATATTCTTTAAATGCTTCCACATGAACTTCGGTCTCTTAGCGTTATTATTTATGAATTGAGTAAAATATGCACCCTTCTCTCTATGAATTGCTAGTTCAACTTCTGATTTCAGATCCTTATAGTACGCTATGTGAGTATCTTTCTGAGTGTGTCGCGATCTTATGTGTGCCTCATTACGAGTACGAATCATTTCGTTGATGTTGTAAGTAATCCACGGATATTGGGACTCTTTAAAAAGTCCACATAACTGAGGTGCTAAGGAATCGAAAACAGATAATAACATACTATTAAATTGAGAAACAAGACTATTGACGTCATATATATTAAGACATTGTTGATTGAAATTTGTTAAATAGTTTTTGAGATCATTTTCATTAATGCTACTAATTTTTCTATAAGATTTTCGAAGAGGCTTAGGTTTATATTTGCGTATATTAAATTCAAATGATAAGAACGCATGACTGCTAAGCTCATGTATATAGTCTACCCATACTTCACTAGTGTTACCATCTACACAGACTAGATCTATTAATGTCTCACTGTGAGCAGTAAAGTGAGTAGGCTTATTAACAATCTGTTTGAGATTCGTGTACATTAAGAACTCACATAGCGTACGTGTACAGTAATTATCAGATTCGTAAAAATTAATATTAAAATCACCCACCAGAACTACATGGTCATGAACAGGAAGTGTAGTGAACATCTCCGTAAGTCCTTCGAAGAACTTAAATGGATTTAGCCAAGGAGGTCGATATGCAGTGCCGATCACTAACTTTTTCCCTCCCACGCTCACACTAAGCCACATTTGTTCTATGTCCGGAGATGTTGAAGGTTGAATGAGGGTTCGTGCTGTTATTCCTCGTCTAATATAGTAGCCCACACCCCCACCACGGCCGCGCACTTCAGCAGGACGCGGTTTGTGGCGCAAACGATATCCCGGGATATTTGGTGCTCGCCCTTCCTCACCCTCTCTCAACCAAGTTTCATTTAAGGCCATAATGTCTACATCATGGCGGTTAATAGCCAGCATGAATTCGTCATGGTGTGTCCCCAGAGATCCTGGATTCAAAAAACCAATTCTTAACTTACGTAACCCAGGCATCGGACTTACAAACTTCTCTAAGTAACTCAATAATGTCGAAATATGAAAATATATTCATGTTAAAGGACATAATTATAAATACGTGTGTATAAGTATATCCAGTAAGAATCAATATAATAAAGAAAAAAAATAGAATAGCAATGATGTATAATGTATTATATAAGTATAATAAGAATATTGGCATATGTATGATGAACTTTGTAATAAAAACTTGGGCGTCCCACTGATAACATAAACAAAGCAACTATATACGAATATAAAATAAAATGATAATGTTAAAAGTAATTCGTAATTAAGGACTAAAGTAAACAAAGAAAAATAGCGAATATTGCGTCTCACAGCATTGACTGAGCGCTCACTATTTATGTATAAAATTAAACTTACTAATCTATACTGTATCAAAAAAACTTATTTATATCTGTGTCTACACGTATACGATAGATAGGTGTGTCAGAGCTCCGCCGAACAAATATTTTCCCCCCTCTCGTCCACACGAAACGCCAGCCCCTCTTCTTACCTTCCTCTTTTGCTCTAAACAAAAGGTACCGATTGTAAGGTGTGAGCCGCTCGTTAATGAAGAATCGTCTCGGCTCGCCATCAATGACGCCGGACGTATCAACACTGCGCCTCACCCGCGCTGCCCGCAGCAGGTCGTCGCGCAGTGAGCGGCGCGTCACTCGCACCGCGATGGCACGCGGACGCATTCGCTCGCCGTCAGCCGCCACGGATCGCCGAGGTCCCGATCGCTCTGCACTCACGATGTCTTGTTCGGTGAGATCGATGCCGACTTTTCTAGCAGATAACAGCACGATGTTGTTGACATTCTCTCCAGGCTTTTCCAAGATGCCAGCTAACTCGAAGTCTGTTGCTAAATATTCCTGCTCCCTATCATTCATTTGCATACGCAAGCTCGATATTTCCGCTTTAGTGCTTTCTTCAATATGGCTTTGATTGTTTATATCATCTTTTTCCAAAGCTGAAATTCTACTTTCTACGGTAGTAAGGCGACTATTGAATTCCGACATTGTCGAGTTAAGCCGAGAGACCTCTTCCCGAAAGAAAGTCATTTCCCGGGATACAGATGCCATATCTTTTCTTAATAATCGTATCTCCTGCAACAGTGCTGCCGTCGTGTCTTCGCCAAGGTTGGCATCCGCGAAAGTATCATCCACAGCATCCTCGGGATGATGGGAAGGAGCCTGAACGGGTGTACACAATTTAGGACTCGATTTGCAATCACGGCATATCCATTTTCCGTGTGTTTTAGTGTCTGGGCTGATATTAAGACAGACTCGGTGATAGCGGGAAGCACATTTTAAGCATTTAACACCATCTGTTGTAGCAAGGAATTTGCCACAGTGTTTACACTTATTTCCCATAATAATTGATATAATATGATACTATGCAGTGTTAGAGATGATAACTAGATGGCGTTGTTAATTATTTTGCAAATTGTTATTAATAAATAACTCGTTTAATTAACATAAAAGGTTGTAGTTACTAAGTTTGGACACACACTATTTGAATCACTAGTAGAGATTCAGAATAAAAATTTTATGTTTTTGTCACTTTAAAGTTACGTGGGTATAATGTAACACTTAGCTCGAGTTATTTTAGTATTATAATTGTTAATTAATGTACTTGGTTTCTTTCCACTATAGTTTTTACACGAAGAATTGTCACACTCACAATAAGCCACTATAATAAAAACTGTTTAATTGATCTATGTATTTTATTTTAAGTTTATACTATTGGAACTACAGAATCAGCTGTCACACCGACGACGCGACGTGACGTATTCAATGACGTATTCAATAGACTTGATTGATATTTTTATAACTTTGCAAGTAGTCTCGATGAGTCATTTGACATTTGCAAAACGTGGCACTAACTATTGCCAACAAGTTCACGGAACATTCCATTGGATCCCGTTAACATGACGGCTTAGATCTCTGCCTTCACAGTCAAAAATATAAATTACCTTACATTATATTAAATATATAAAAATCTTTATTAATTTGAAAAGATAACGAGATCACGTCGTGCAAGATAAGCTTTTCAAATATATATATACAATATATTCCGTCTTAATACATCTGTAAACTCAGCCTTCATAACAGATAAGTCTTTTGAATGTATCCAACTAGAACAGAATTTAGTCAAATTAATTTACCTTGCAATATCTCCGGTTTATTAATCGAGTACCGTTTTTAGTGAATAGCATTAAACCGTTCTTGTTCCAAGTAAATCGGTTAGAGTTTTTAAAGTATAATAATTTATGAACAGTTATAATAATTCCGTTCTGATGCCGTGGGATATTTCTGCGATCCGCTATATATTGTTATAGTGTATTTTTATTATAATAATGTAACTCTCGTTCTCAAATGTTTGAATATTTTTCAAGCCCCTGACCTTACATCTTGACCTAGGTAATGTGAAACAGATTTTGAGACGAGTTCAATAAAGTTTAATTTAGTTTTGAATTAGAAAAATCTTGTGTTGGCTGTAATAAAGAAGCGAAATGGTATTGTTTGCCGTTCACTCTCCCCTTTAAAATTCTGCCTTGTTTTAACGGTTCATTTTAATCTAAGAGTAAAGAACCCCGGCTGACTGCAGTATTTTAATCCATTATATGGGCGAAAAGAAGACAAACATGTTTGCTGGTACTCAAACATACATATAAGCTTATAAGTTTGAATAATACAAATAAAACTCAATACATACTAAGTTATAAATTATATAAAAATAGAACAGTTTTAAATATTATTGTCTGGCATAAAATTTATCACAGCTCAATGTTTATTTGAATATGTACTAATAAGTTTGTATTTATGGTCTATTTGTTTTACATTATATATTAAATATGGTAGGTTGATGATAAATTTAGATCGTGACTGGAGGCACGGACCCATGCGAGCAATGATGCAAACTTCTTTCATTTTTAGTCATTGGTAACACCACATGGGGTAGTCGGTTGTCCCTCGAGTGTGATAAACGTTATTATATATAAATAACATCCTAACGCACCTTCACTAGGGATTTTTATTTTGTTTAGTTAAAAAAAATTAAATTACCAAGCCGCAACAACCCTTGCATAAACTTTATCGTCTACTGAATTGAACTAATTATATTTTTATTATTTGTTTTTATCTTAGTAACCAAGCAACAAGTAATATAATTTTTCATACTTGTTTGTTATTCAAAAATGTCAACCAGCTACTGCAATCAATATCACTCCATCCATGTTCTGAAAAACTTCCCTTATGGCGTTCTAATAGGGTTTGTGCACTGAGAAGTATAAAAATGTATTTACATATATCTAATATTAAAATGTTTAAAATACATTGCATATTTTTTTATTATGGAAAAAAAAATGTTTTACGAGTAGAAATTTAAATATAATATTATAAAAATTTAAAATCCTACAAAGTATTTCTATGTTTTTTTTTATTTATTTATTTATTCAGATACACCATCGACTTATCATAATAACTAACACAATATTATCCCTACTAATATTATAAATGCGAAAGTAACTCTGTCTGTCTGTCTGTCTGTCTGTCTGTCTGTCTGCTACGCTTTCACGCCTAAACCACTGAACTGATTTTAATGAAATTCGGTACAGAGATAGAGTTGACCTTGAGAAAGAACATAGGATAGTTTTTATCCCAGACTTTTGAAAGGTTCTCTTGGAAACGCGATATAACCGAACTCCACGCGGCGAAGCTGCGGGCGGAAAGCTAGTATGCTCTAAATATACAATCAGTATGATTAGCCTTTACAGGTGTATACAACAATGTTTCTCAATTAAGTACGCAAAAACTATTTCGTATGAAATTTTAATGAAAGTTTAGAGCAAAAATAAAACACAATTTCCTTCAAAATCTTACATACAAAAAAATAAAAGGAAAAAGTAAAAATTAATCACAATATTTAAATTTACATACGAAAAATATAAATTATATTTCACAATAGAGTAATTTGTTTTCATGTTTTTGGTTTGGTGTTATCTGTCATCTAATTGGTCAAAATAATTCGTAGAATCATTAAAATGTCCAATTAGTATAACAGACATCGAAATAAAAAATGTAGCTTTTGTTCAAATTCCCTATTTAAAGACAATCATATGCAAACTTTCACTGTGAATATTTTTGCGAACTCGTAACATTCTTAAGAAGGTCATAAGGTTTTTTGATTCACCTTTTAATGCACTCCCGAATTGGTAGATATATCGGTCACACGGGTGTTCATTTAACCACTGACATTCTCGTAATTAACTCTCGAATATAAACGCGTCGTTAAAATATATTCATCACAATGAGATCACTACCGACTAGAAACAGTACCTACATTTAATGACACTCACCGGACTTGAAATAGATTTAAATTTATAAAGCTAAAACTGTCTACGTTGTGTACATCGATCAGGAAGCTAACAAAGACATTTACAACTTCTTATCATCTCTCTAGTAATGACAATAGTCTCGTAATAAAAGCTAACAGTGCTATTATGTTCACGATAAAGACAGTCTTTGTAAGGCATTGAATGTTTTATTTACTTGTCATGAATTGTATTGGTAGTTTCGTTTATGTTCTCTTAAAATGACATGTAATATAAGTTTATATAATTCTTAGTATATCATCAGGTGGATAACCGTAGCGGAGTCTGGTATGGGCGTGCGGTGATTGAATTACAATATAATGACAGAGGGAGAGAAACAGCAGAGCGCTGGCGGCGCCAATGCCGCACCACAACACAGGAAGGGGCACAGGTAAAAACTTATCCATAGAGTTTTAATGTTATAGACATGTTAATCATCATTTGATACGACGACAGAACGAACAGTTTTTTTTATTCTGCTCTAAATCTTGTTTGGATAAAATAATAAAGGCTCAATGAATATGATCAAGAAGCAAATGTCTGTTAATAATTCCTGTTCTTCTAATTTTTAATACCTATGGTCGAGCCATTATATATCTGTATATAGTGAAGAGGCTAACAAATGTATGTATGAATCGTTGAATGCATCGCAGTTCTAAATGTACAGATTATAATCAATGGGATGTTCACACTTAGGTGCTTTCATGTGTATCGCTTACGTTATGTTATTTTACGAATATGGTAAAACAAATCTATGTTTATAATATACAAAAAGTAAATCAAATAATTTATTTTTGTATGACAAATTGGATTCAACAAAATAATTCATTTCCAAAAAGGTATTGCTTGATTGACATGAAATGTAAATATTATTTTTCCCTCTTCTCCTTGGACCGCGGAAGCGTTCGGACGTGTTCACTGTGTTGATATTTGTGCGAAATTTTAAAATTTAAATATAAAAACTTTAGTTGAATTTCTTGGTTTTGAACCTGTGTCGTGTCGGCGTGAGTTCGAACGTGTGTTGCTGACCGCTACACCAAACGTCCGGGTGACGTCACATCGTAATCTTTGTAATACATTCGACACAAGCAACTACATTTTAATTTGCGGGTGTTTCTATGAACACTTCTAACAAATCTTCAGCTAAGCCAAATACCTACAAACAAATGGATCGTACACCGCCTAATTATGTTGCTCAACGAAATAAACGAGGCAGAGAGAACGAAAGTGTCCACGACTTCGAAAAGTTTCGTGACAGTATAGAATTAATGATATCAAATATGATGGCCGCACAAAAGGAGGATATAAAGAAAATTCAATCTACACTAATGGAAATAAAGACCGCTAACAGCGATATTCAAAACACGGTGGATTTCCTTGCATCTCAAAATGAAGAGTTGAAGAAGAAAATTGAGCAATTAGAAATACAAACTAGAAAGGATAAAGATTATATTACACTTCTAGAAGACAAAATAGAAGAATTACAGCGTGAAAACCGTAAAACCAGCATCGAAATTAAAAATGTTCCAAAAGTGCACGATGAGTCTAAGGAAATGTTAATAAAGTTATTCTTAAATCTTTCTAATAATATTGGTTGCGATATTGATGAAAGGCACATTAAGGATATTTATAGAGTCCACAGGAAAAATAACACACATAAAACGCATATCATAACTGAGTTATCATCCACGATGCTAAAAACAAAGTTCCTTAAACATGCCAAAAATTATAATACAAAAAACAAAGAAAAACTATGCGCCAAACACTTAGGTTTTACAAAAAATGAATATGAACCAATTTATGTATCAGAACAACTAACAGCCAAAGGGGCCCGCTTGTACTTTTTAGCCCGCGATCTTGCTAAGTCCCGGGACTATAAATTTTGCTGGTCATCCTATGGGAAGATATACGTTAGAAAAAATGAAGATTCACCGATAATAGTTATTAAAAATGAATCGCATGTCAATAACTTGATGCAAAAGGAATGACTATACTTAGTAATTAATTTAGTTTTAAGTCAGTTATTTAACTTGTTTTTATTATTTATTTTTGATCGTACGACTAATGTTTTCATTGGAATTAGTCTTTGTTATAAACTATTTTATTCCGGTGTAATTTATAATTTATTAGATTTTTATGTAAAACAGCTATTTCGATTAATTCGATCCAAAATCACACTTTGTAATATGATGTATTATTATAATAAAATAACACAAAACACACTTTGCAATCAACCACAACACAGCAATTTACTTAAAAAACCTGTGAAAGTAAGGAAATACGTCAAACCCACCGCTTGCTTGGAAATATATTATGATTAATAAACTTCAAATTTTGAATGAAATTGATAATAGTGAATCATCAGTGTCGATTTTTTGCAGTATAGAAGATTTACCCAAACATATGAAATATAAAAACCAAAATTTTACCGTTGTATCCCAAAACATAAGAAGTATTTACCGTAACTTGGACGACTTTAATGTACATTTGCTTTTATTTAAATTTAACGTGGACGTGATAATTCTATCAGAATGCCGAATAGATAAAGATAAACCAATTCCAGGTCTTTCCAACTATAGAGCCTACTGTACAACAAACCACCTTAATCAGAATGATGGGGTTGTTGCTTTTGTTAGAGACGATATCCAAGCTAATGTTAATGAAGTAATGTTGATGGGTGCTTCCTGTATCGAAGTAACTACGCCTACATTTGTTATTTTGGGTATTTATAGATCACCGTCAAATATAAATGCGGATACTTTTGTTGAATCATTGAACAGCTACCTGGAATTACTTACATCTCGCAGTAATATTATACTGACTGGTGATATAAATATAAACTTGAATCAGAAAACAACGGAGCAAACATTTGAGAGGAACAATAGATTAAATTACCTTAACGTGTTATCTCTTCATGGTCTTCTTCCAGCTAACTGTCTACCAACAAGGGAAAACAGTTGCATTGATCACGTTATCCTCAAACTAGAAAAAAAGTACTCCGCTTTTTCTGCTGTTCTGAATACTACGATAACAGACCACCATATGGTATTTTTATCCGTGTACGGTAATGAGCCTCTTAAGGAGAATAAACCAAAGAAGGTCGTAGTGAATTTTAAAGAAGCTTACCATACTTTGACCCTACAAAATAAATATTTAAATTACTTAAATACTTACAGACAAAGTGACCCCAACATTTTGGCTAATCTACTAGTTGAAGTAATACAAATTTGTTTAAAAAAACACACTAGAAGCGTTACCATTTCTAGTAATAGACGTATACTCAAGCCTTGGATGAATGAGGGTATCCTGCGTTGTGTTCGATTACGAAATATGTTGCAGAGGAAATTGCGAGCTAATCCATACGATGAAATTTTAAAAATTTCATATAAAAGATACCGTAATTTTTGTAATGGACGAATAAAAAAGTTAAAAAGAGATTATTTCAAGAAACAACTGGCTATATCAAAAACAGATTCAAAATTACTATGGAAGACGATTAACGCTATAACTCAAATAAAAGCGCCGAAAATACCTTGCACCAATCTTCTCAACCTAAAAGAGACTCCTTTACAGTCAGTTAATCAGGTTAACCATTACTTTTCAAGTATAGGTAGTTCTCTTGCTCAGGCTATTACTGTTAACTCACATGCTGTATGTTCCGCTCCAGATATTTGTAGTCCTCAAGTAAATTCTTTTGTGCTATTATGTACAGATCCATCAGAAGTAGAGAGTGCGCTTATGAACTTAGATACAAATAGTGCAACAGGATGGGATACCATCCCGACCGCATTCCTAAAAATGGCCAAGGACATTGTTGTTCCTATAATAAGTAAAATAATTAATTTGAGTTTCGAACAAGGTACATTTCCGGAGGCCTTTAAGCAGTCTATAATTACACCAGTATATAAGAGTGGAAACAGGGATGATATAACAAATTATAGACCAATATCTGTTTTGACCTGTATTTCAAAAATTATGGAAAAAATAGTGAATAGAAGGCTCCAGAACTACTTTGACAAATATAATATCATTTCCAAATCGCAGTATGGTTTCCGTAAGGGTGTGTCAACTGAGGATGCGGTCGGCGATCTCACCAAACTAATTGTCCGGCAGGTTGATAAGGGCAAAAAATGTTTGGCGGTGTTTCTAGATCTAAAAAAAGCCTTCGACACGGTGTCTGTGCCTATTCTATTGAGGAGACTGGAGGGTCTTGGTTTTAGGGATAAATCTCTTTCGCTCCTCACAAGTTACCTTAAAGACAGAAAGCAATCCGTCAAAATAGGTGAATTTATTAGTGATACTGTGACTGTTAATTACGGCGTGCCTCAAGGAAGCGTGGTTGGGCCGACCCTGTTTTTGATTTACATTAATCAGTTGTGTGATATGGAGCTTGAAGACGGCCAAATTTTTACCTATGCAGATGACACTGCCATCGTATTCGTGGCAGACACTTGGTGTTCTTTAAAGAAAACAGCGGAATTAGGACTTAAAAAAGTTGCAAAGTGGCTAGATGAAAACTTATTGACTTTGAATATCTCCAAAACAAATTACGTATGCTTTACGAAAGTTAGCAGCGCTCAACCAAACTCCGATTTTGTGATAAAAATTCATAAATGCCCTGACGACCTCGAGTCTGACTGTGACTGTCCTCAAATAAATAAAGTTGCTAGTTTAAAATACCTTGGTGTCATGGTTGACCAAAGATTATCTTGGTATTCGCAACTGGAACTGATGATAACTAGGGTTAGAAAGTTTATCTGGATTTTTAAATCTCTACGGTATGTATGTGCAAAGCCCTTACTAAATAAAGTGTACATAGCTTTAGTACAATCGATCTTGAGCTACTGCATTCCTGTTTGGGGTGGAGCAGCTAAGACTAGATTCCTTGAACTGGAAAGAGCTCAAAGATGTTTAATAAGGGTGATGTACGGCAAACCATATAGATTCCCTACCACTGCACTGTACGAGATAAGTGGTCTACTTACGGTGAGAAAACTTTACATAATAGCAACAGTATTAAGGCTCCATAAAAGCTTGAAATATTTACCTCCATTAACAAATAAACGCAGGAAGTACACAGTGCCATATAATGAATTTATCAAAAGTAAATTTGCCTCAAGACAATACTCAAGACAATCAATTTATTTGTTTAATAAAATAAACCAGGAAGTGGACATATATTCCAGTACATACTTTGATTGCAAAAAAGCTTTAACAGACTGGCTGTTAAAACGTAACTATAAAGAAATAGAATCCCTGCTTGAATACATCACCTAACAAACTGTTGCGAATAAACAAGGCAAACACAAACACACGCATTCATACAGTCCCTTATACATACACAACACACACACACACACACAACACACACACACACACAACACACACACACACACACACACACACACACACACACACACACACACACACACACACACACACACACCGACAAACACTACTCACAACATGCCTAAGCCAACACACTCACAAAAACACATGCTTAGCCTTACGCCTCAGATACTCTCACATCCTCACATATTAATACTGTTATAATAATACACATTTTAGATAAAATTTTGTTTTTGTATTACCGTGATTGTTATTATTTAAGTTTTAGTATGAGAAAATTTTTATGTAAAGTATAGTATATTTTGTAACTGTTGTCTCGTAGTACTTACCGCTGATTGCATAAGGGAAGAGCGGGGCCTCCTACTACAGGTATTGATATACTTAAAAGGGGGTACCCAACGATGTATAAACAAGTGTACTACTTTGAATGAAATAAATTATTTTTATTTTATTTTTTATTTTTTTTTTATTTATTTTTACTTGTCAGTAATTAAACTGTCAATGCTATGTCAATGTCTGTAATTAGCGTTTCAAAAAAGACTGTAGACCTTTTGGTGCAATGGCCTTGTTTTTTGTATTACGGGTCTAAAAATACATCATATTTTCTTTGGCACATATAAGCTTATGCAAAAGACTCTTTCTTACATAATTTATTCATAAGAATCACAAAGAACAATATAAGTTACACTTATTAGACTTTTTGAATGTTCGTTTAACAGTGGCTAGTACAAAACAAATTAATTAATACTACTAATGTTTCGTCAATAGTTCAACCTTCTATGTAACGAATTCATAATTTCCTAAATTTTCAAACAAAAATACGTTTGAGTTTCTTTTTCTTGCGTCATTGTTTACTTCGTGCGTTGCTCCAGCGATAAGCAGGAACATGTAACTTTTTATATTCAATACATACAATTAAACCGTTCCTTTATTACAAGCGTAGTTTAAGGTAAAAGATAAATACAAATGCAGCGGAACTCTTGAGAAGTTTCACATGTGTTGGTAATTAGATTCAATCAAATCGATAACTCGCTTTGAAGAGAAACTTAAACCGAAGGAAATGTTATTATGGCCGATAAAATTAAGAAAATACATATTTAATGTTGACCATGCCTTGTAATTAAAACATAAGATTAATTAAGTTTACTTTATAAAACTGAAATTTTATGTATCTTAAGTAATGACGATAATATTACTCATTTGTATGTATCTCTTCTTTTATACAGCTAGAATTCTGGTATAACAAAAAATTTTAATGTTCAGTCAACTTCAAACGCTACAACCAAATGTATGTATATGATATATGAAATAGTCATATTATATACGAATGTTTTTTATTGTGATTTAATATACTGTTCTAATACAAGATAAAGCCGTCACAGTGCTATCAGATACTGTAAGGTTTGCGACACCTGGCCCACATATGATCTAATCGCTGTACACGATATCGGACCAACCCAAACGTTTAGTCATCTCAAACTTCTTTGTCATAACAGTTCCCCATAAACTACCAAATAAATGACAGTAACATTTTGAATACAACGTGAAAGTGAAATCGAAGATGCCTTAGTTATATTTGGGACGCTGCGAAATTTTGCCGCGAACCATAACGCTGCTGTTTCGTTATTGTGTTTTATTTTTGTTATTTATTTCTTCAATATGTCGGTTACAACATCTGAACAGCGGTTGTTGCTGGAAAGGTACCATATTGATATCCTTATCTGTTTTATACGTACGTAACTTCCTTGTTTAAAATTATCAATAATTATATACATTTATATAAATTAAATAACATAGCGTTTGATTACGTTGAGTGTGGTTAAGTTTAAAAGAATAATGTAATGGTATACCAGGAGACAAGAGTCCATGTACGCTATGACGGGTCTGTATGCGGAGTCTGGTTGTGCGGAAGGCGATGCCGGGCCCAGTGTACCCCCACCAGCGCACCCTCGAGATACCACCAAATGTCACAGCAGAAACCCCTCGGCTGGTATATGCGACAGGTAACCCAAAATTAAAACCTACCCTCTAAATCCATTACTTATATTCTAAACAAATTAACATCAAAACTCGAAAGCCATTAATTTTCTTATTAGTCATACGCACGCGCATAACAATATATGACGAAACAAACACATTGTCTTCATGAATTATGATATATAAAATTTTGTGCGCAATCATATGTTATTCATTCCAATAGAAATGATGTCAGATATATATTTCAATACATAAATTAAATTATAAATCAAATTGATTACTATGTATTAAAGTTTCGTTATTTACAGAGACCGCGAACGAGAAAAAGAGAAAGAGAAACCCCACCAAATGTTTCCAGAAATTTTAGACATTCCTCATGATTCAAGAGACTGCGGTATTCTATCGTGGAGGCCGCTATTTATTCAGAGATTTTCTAGTATTAAAGTAAGTATATTAACTTAAATATAATATATAACTGTCTGGCCATTTTACTAATATTTATATAATATTTGGCAGGTATTCGTATTTTTCCTTTCGTTCCTAGTAACGCTGCAGCAAGCGTTAAGCTCGGGCTACATAAACTCTGTGATTACAACCATCGAGAAACGTTTCGAGATACCCTCCAGCCTCTCGGGGCTCATAGCGAGCAGTTACGAGATTGGCAACGTCATTACCGTCATATTCGTGTCATACCTCGGCAGTAGACGACACATTCCAGTATGGATTGCAGTCGGTGAGTAAAAGGAACACATCACTCTACACCAACTATTATAATAATTGCATTTGTTTATTTGTTAGGACCAATTAATTTTCTTTTTGCAATGTCCTATCACACTATTTAATAAAAATTCTTAAAGCAAAATTTCATCTTATATTTTTGAAGGCGTTTATGTACTATTTAGCGAGGAATGATCTCTGAACGGTGCCTGAGCCTGAATCAGATTTATATCTAGTTTAATGTGAATGCTAATTAGAAACGGGATGTTAAAGTAATATAATTTGAAGGTGCCGTAATTATGGGCATCGGCTCGTTGGTTTTCGTCGTGCCGCATTTTATAGCGGAAGCCAACAGCGAAATGATGATGAATAATAAGTCGGATGAGAACATCTGTCGTCTGCCACGAGCCTTGGAACAGGACATGAGCGGATTGGGAAGATTGTCCCCTGGTTTGCCGCCGAGCAATCTAAGGCCAGAAAACTGTATCAAGGTTGGTATAGCCAGATCTATATATAGGAATATAACAATTTAATGACATTAACTAATTACGTCTTTGCCAATATTTATTCCTATTTACAAAACCAAAATTAGTATGTACCAAAAATATTAAACCTATTTTGTAACAACAAAAAATAAAGTCTTATATCGGTTTTATTCTCCCAGAGTTCGCCCAGCACGTTTGTACCAGTGATGGTATTCGTGGTAGCTCAACTGCTGTTGGGTTGCGGCGGCTCCCCACTACTGACCCTCGGCACGACGTACGTGGACGATCACGTGCGACCTGAATCATCCAGCATGTATATCGGTAAGAACATATCATATCATATCATATCATATCACATCATATCATATCATTTTTTTTATTGGAATAACCCCCACATTATAAAGTCATCACTCTGTACCCTTATCAATTGGCATTTACAAACCTAACAAAAACGATTCTCAGTATTTTACTTACATGCCTACATTGATACTATCTAAGGATTTTATTAATAAATAACCGAAGAATATCGGTTGAATTGATACTACTAATTGCTTTTTACTATTTATTTGATCATATTTTATCTTTCTTCTTTTTTCGTATATATTTTTTTTCTTGCACAGATACCATATATCACTTTTTACTAATGATTATTATGAAAACTTATATTATCCAGCCATCTACGGCATCTCTTTTTACACATTTGCTTGCAAGACACAACAAATCTCTTTTTACTTGTTGCTCACATACATTATTATGGCAACTTCATAACCGGACCGTCTCTTGCATTTTTTTATATATAATTACACAGACTCATCTTTTATTTTTTCTTTTCGTACACATTATTGTGTAAACTTCGTTAACAGTAGACTTATATTTATTGTCTCGCATGATTGTTTATTAAACCATTGTTTTGTTGTTTCTATTGACACATCAGTTATATTTACATTAATTGAAATATGCATCTTTTATGTCTCACCTCATAGATGTATGAAAAGCTCATATTTCTTTGTACTTTTTATAACAGTGACATTATAAATTAGTTGTATTTAAAATAATACTTATATTTTCGGATGTATTACGCGTTTTTTATTTTAAAATTACATACTTCCAACGTTTCGGTTCCTTTTCAGTGACTTTTTTTTTTAATCTCATCTGTCCGTGATTACGGTCGTGCGTAGTAAGTATATCCGAAAATTCTAATTTTATTTTAATGAATACACGAAAAAATCGTTAATATAATTGTTGTATTTTCACAGTAAAAATTATATTAGTTACTATTCTGGTATTTCTTCTAGTTTGTTCTTGCGTCAAATTTACGTATTGCAGTAGGTATAGCGTAACGTAGAATGCCTTTTTGACTGCAATCGTTATTGTTTATTATTATATTAAAGGTAAAATAAATTCCATAAAGTCACTCAAATGTTATTATTGTTTTGATTACGATTGATTTTATTTTAATAAATTTAAATGTTCTTTTATTTAGTTAGACTAAACACGTCGTACGCGTGTCCTTGGGTAACCTTTGTTGCTCGTCTTTATATCAGTGGCGACTATTGCTCTTACCGTTGTTGTCATAAAACAAACTCCAAGCATGCCACAGTTCAACGAACCACGTCCAGACTTGACTTGTCCTGTTTATGAGTTCCAATAGCGATATAAACTTATGCTATCAAGAATATTCCATTTGTTCATAAAATACGTTCGTATTATGAATGGTTTTGGTCATGGTGAAGCTATTACGTAAGTATAAGGGGGAAGCGTAATAGATTTTGGGGGATTAATGGCGTTATGTAACCTCGAAATAACGTGCTGTTCTGACCTTGACTCGCCCATACCTGACCGCTCTCACACTGGACTATAAACAATTTAATCATGCTGAAGCTTCCGTGTTTGTTACACTCATATATCCTACGCAATGCGAGGATATATGTCCTAAACCCAGGGGAGCGGAGTATTCATTAACTAATGAACACCATAAAATACGTTGGCTGTATAATGTTGACGTTCGAATGTCAAAATATTTTTATATTACTTCTGTTAATTAATGACATACTCATATATATATTTCTAAGTAAAATAATAAAAGAAGTATTACTAAGTTAATTAAAAAGTATGTAGGTTCTTTTATACATGGTGTTCGTATATTAATAGCATTATAAGTAAGACGGTCATATTATGGCTTCTTGTGCCAGTGTAACGACCTCAGGTGCGGTTAAACTCTTAAGCGGAGTTCAGATTAGCGACGCACTTATACCTCTATTTCTTTATAAGCGGCCTCAAATGTCTGTTTTTGAATCTCGCAGGGCTTTTGACATTCATTATTTCTGTAAAACTCAACAATACTCAGTGAAATGAAACTCGAAACTGAAGCACATCTTGATAGACTTGGTTGTTTGATGAAAATGTTTATTTTTATCACATCAAAGTAGGTATATAAAAAAATATCTTTGGACTCATAAAAATCGTACAGGTAACAATATCGATATTTATTGAGTTTTATATACATTAGCCGCGAAATCTATACTGCTAGGGCACCGCAAAGCTAGGCTGACCTAGATTTGGTCCGCAATGTAGAAAAGACTTGTTAAAGCTACTGCATGCGGTCTTCGCTTGCTGTCATCGCGGGTTTTCGGATTAGGCGCTGGCGATGTTTACATTCCAAGACTAACGTTGCTTTTAAAATATTAATACACCGCGATCAATACTTAAATAAAAGGTCATTCGTACATTACTCCAATTAAAACATTTTTATATTATCTGTTAATCAATGTTTCATACTATAGAAGTTTTATAGTATTTCAATATGTCAATTTACAGGATGTATGTATAGTATGGCTGCTTTCGGTCCAGTTTTGGGATTTCTTCTTGGCGCCTATCTTCTTCAATTCCATATGGACTCATTTTCCGGCACTATCATACCGTTAGGTGGGTAAAACTATTTACAAGTACTATTACATTCATACATTAAAAAAGTCATATATACAGGGTGACTGGTGAAGTACTATCAATATTTACGGAGCATACTCGGTACATGATTCTCATTCGAATTATGTAAAAAAAATAAGTACTTAATTTTTGACCAAATTTCCGTATAAATAAATAAAGTGTGTACACGTTCCAAGTGTTCCTAGTGTGGACGCGTGCGGCGGCGTGCTGATACAACAACACGCCGCCGCGCGCGTATGTGTGAGTGTGTAGTGTAGAGTAATCTGTAGGGTGTTCATACGATGCGTAATTAATTACATAACTTTTGGTTAACTTTACTTAGAAGTTTATTAATATTTATGTTATATTAATTTTTATTTCGTCATATATGATCGTCAAATATCACGTCCTCAAATATCGATAGTAATTCACCAGTCACCCTGTATACGTAAATAACCACTGTTTATTATCTTTCCAGATCCGGGCGACCATAGGTGGGTAGGTATGTGGTGGGGAGGTTTCCTACTATGTGGTCTTCTACTCATACTCGTGGCGATTCCTTTCTTCTCGTTCCCAAAAGTTTTGGTCCGCGAAAAAGAAAAGATTCGTCTCGTTGAGAAAGCAGCCGCTGCGAGCGGTTCGTCGACTTCAAAACCGCCGCCGAAACCACAGTCAAATATCAAAGACACTGGCTATGGTAAAGATATCAAAGGTAAATATTATAACCATTATTGATTCTCATAATTAGTTTATTAATACAGTTCAATCATAATGATATTATAGAGTAATTCTCTTTAAAATTTCTCTGAATCTTTCTTAAACTCATAAGCTACAAAACAGAAATATTGTAACACTTCCATTTTGAAACACTCATTATAAACTGACTTTATACTAATAACAATATTGGTTGGATGTTATTTACAATGAAAAATAAATTTGTTATATATATATATTATTTATCAACAGACATTCCCGTATCAATGTGGCGTCTTCTCAAGAACCCGGTGTACGTAGTCACGTGTCTAGGAGCGTGCATGGAACTCATGATAGTGTCCGGCTTCGTTGTGTTCCTACCTAAATACCTAGAAACACAGTTCAGCCTCGGCAAGAGCCAGGCGAGCGTTTTTACCGGTCAGTAATAAATTAACTTCACTACATAATGCACTGTTAGGAGAATGACTAAAAACATTATTAATTCTTAGATTGGATTTCTCATCATTAATAATATCGGACTAACTGTATAGTGATGGTATTTATAATGGACGACGTATTATTATGTTTAAAGGTTTTTCCATACATTATATAGATTTAAAAAAAATAATAATAATACTGTTACATTCTATTTAGGTCGTTTATGTTTTAAAAAACAGTATGATCTATTAATATGTATGTTATATGAATTACAGGATCGATAGCTATCCCCGGCGCGTGTATCGGCATCTTTATGGGTGGTTGTTTGCTCAAGAGATTAGAACTACGACCGAAGGGCGCGGTGCAGTTCGTATTAATATCGAACACTATATGTTTGTCCTGTTACGCCTTGCTGTTCTTCCTCGGCTGCGACAACATAAAAATGGCCGGCACTACCATACCGTACACTAACAACAGGTAAATAGTAGAAGTATATGAAGTTCAAAGTATAAAATATATAACAATAACATTAAATAGAATATTTTTCAAAAGTAATTAAGATTAAAAATAACAAAATTACTACTAAAAATCCATATAAATTATACATTAGTTGAAGATGATACATACATCTTAAAGGATGGCAACTTTTTGGAACTGTGATTTATGAATTGTGTTTGTGTATACGTGTGTGAATAAGTGAAAAAACTTCCAAAATGTTTGAATGAATCCAAATCTCACATAACAAAAAAAAAATAAAAAAGCATTCGAAATTCAAATATTCATTGAATTTTTTTTTCATGTCAGCAACGTGGAGCCGTTCAAGGTTAACCTGACAGCCGCCTGTAACTTCAACTGCCTGTGTACGGAGACCGACATGGAGCCTGTCTGCGGTAACAACGGCCTCACGTACTTCTCACCGTGTCACGCTGGCTGTGCCGCCTTTTCTTCAAGATCCAACTTCACTAACTGCGCCTGTGAGTAATGAGTATACCTCGTAAAGACTTAGACATTTATGATATGTCACAGTTTTGAAACTAAAACGTAAGATAATCGCCATTAAATGCTTTTATAATATAATGCACGCATACATTGTCATATAATTATAAAAGACGAAGACAAAGCATTGATGTGATTGGATAATTTTGATTTACCATAAAAACACATTAGACGAATCGAAACAGAAGGTTTTGATTAAATATGAATATCACTATTATGTTATATAGGGCTAACATTCATATTCTTATATAAAATGCACTCAGATTCTTATAAATACTTTAGCAAAACCTTACAAATATAGGCAACCGAATTGAGTTTGTTTGCTCACTTGTTCATTTTCACTAATAAACTTATTCTAAAAAACTGCAATAATTTTAAATGTACTATTCAATCCACATCATCCGGCATAAGCCTCCTATATTATGCATGCATTAAAAACCAATCTAGATCCCTTTATTGTTATAAAAGGACTCGTTTAATACAACCCATCAAAGCAACTGATGAAAAAATAAAAAAATAAACTTTATTGACTCAAGGATTACATAACAAACAAGTTGCAAGGGCCCCTGTACTAAGTACAAACCCGTATTACTGATATTATTCCCTTGTATTTCTGTAAGGTGTCCACGAGAACAGTCGCGACATGCTAGGTGTGGGTGTTGGTCTAATGGAGGGAGCGTCCGCCTCAGCCCTCACAGCGGGCTCGCTCCGAGAGTACAGCGAGGTGACGGTGGTGCCGGTGGCTACGGCCGGCGCCTGTAACCCTCCCTGTACCACCATCTTCCCGTTCCTCGTGCTGCTGTTCTTCATGACTTTCGTGGTAGCGGTCACACAGATGCCGCTACTCATGATTGTATTGAGGTGCGATAGGTTTATCTATTTTATATGCATATATATTAATAAATATCGATACCTCCCACGTAAGTTGTTGTAAGCCACAAAAATGCTATTTTGCTTTTTTTTTCTAAATAATATCCTATTATGGATCATTACATCCATTCAAATTAAAAAAACAACAAAAACACTATTTTTAAAGGATTTGTGTAAGGAGTGGGTAAAATCACGCGCTCGCGCCGCGTATGAGTTACATACAACAGAGTAAGACTTATATTTAGGTGAATATACTATATATGTATTATATTAATTTTTACAGGTCGGTGAGTGAGGAGGAGCGTTCATTTGCTCTGGGCATGCAGTTCGTAATATTCCGTCTATTTGGCTACATCCCAGCACCCATCGTCTTCGGCAACCTCATCGACTCAACCTGCATACTGTGGAAACAATCATGTAACGGTGAACAAGGAGGGAGGTGCCTGTTATATGACATAGAACAATTTCGATACAGGTAATAACCAAAACTGTTACATACTCATTCAAATCAAAATTTTTTTCTTATGTATTTTTGTTAATTTTCTTACAAAATTAATTTATTTCAGATACGTCGGCCTCTGTGGGGGCATAAAAATAGTCGCATTAGGTATATTTCTAGCGGACTGGTGGCTGGTGAGGAGACGGAGACATCTAGAAACATCAGCTCCACTGGATCCTCAAAAGGATATCGCCGGTTCTATTATAAGTCTAGACAAATGTGAGTAAATTTTAATAAATATTTATTATTTTTATTTTTCTATTTATTCTAAACTCCTACTCTGCGATGTATCTGGCTTATATTTTAAATTTATTATTGCATGTTACTTATAGTCATATTTAAACTGTAGTATAAATTATACATATAGATTATTATATATTGAATGAAGTATATATATGTTTACTATGTATATACATAATTTCGTATGAGTATGTTTTTCACTCATATATGTCCACCTAAAACGTTTAATAACTGATTACTATGTCCCACATAACATGGTTGCCTGGCAGAGATCGCTGCTTAGCGATAAGGCCGCCAATTGTACATTTAGATCAAGTTTTGCAATTACTGTATAATTTATTTATTCTTTGGTGTACAATAAAGAATACTTACTACTTACTAAATATCATGTGCTCTATCATTCCTTCGTGACTAATTTTGTCTCTTTTAGTATTCGAGGAGTTGCCGTCTGCGGAGAACGCGAGCGGCTTCAGGTCGGGAATAACGTCCGGTCTCAGTTCCGCTACAAGCACGCCCAACGACCCTCTCGACGCGCACGAGCCTCACGACCAGCGTCGTCTGCAGCGGACAGACTCCCAGTACTCACAAGAGTCACAAAGCCGCGCAAACTCTCGCGTGTTGGTAGCGTCGCGTCACCTCCGCAACGACTCCAAGACCATTCAACTAGAACCGCGAGCACGACATCACATCGATGAGCGACCTCGAGACTTCCCTCGCTCCACTTCACGAGACTTCACAACCCACTCTCATTCAAGATCCACTTCACGCGACTTCAAGCCGCATTCGCGATCAGACTCCCGAGATCTTGGACTCGAACAATTAAAACAACTCGCCCTTAAAAGCATGGACAGTCTCGACTTAACGGTGCTACCGCTCGCCAAATGTGCGGACGAGGAGAGCAAACGGCTGATAGAGGGCGCCGGTGTGCTGCGACATAGACGGACCGGTTCAGGGACCTCAAGCCTAGCGAAAGTAAACACAAGCGAACCTCATCACACCACATCACTATGGAACCCGGTGATCTCAGTCTGCAGATACAGAAAGGGCGGAAGCGTCGATCAGCTGGCGACCACACAGACAGACCCGCGCGTCTAATACTGGATATACTTAGTATAATTAGAAACAAACTCAACCGAATCTCCAGATCCGACGGTGTGATGTGTGGTAACCTGTTCGAACTTATAGTGAAATTGACTTGGTCTAGTTGATGGTAGAAGTGATGTATAGAAAAATATTTTTGATGCTATCTGACACATTAATAATAATTTATGAGTGAATGGAAGTATTCCCATCAAATGATTTCTTCTATTATCCTTAGCTAACCAGGGAGTGATGTTGAACCATATCTTTAATGTAGTTTAATGATCGCTTATCATATGAGATGAAAGCTGTTTCAGTAAAATAGTGATCAATTTACCTAGAAATAACCTCGTGTAAGTTTTATTTCGTGTTCATAATTATTTTGTAAAAAAAAATAGTCTTTAATACTAGAATACTCATGTAGCTCCCATTCTCGTTATAAAATTAAACATTGTTTTATTAACTTTCATTTGAAATAAAAATAGAGTGGTAGTTCCATGAAAAATCTATCAAAATGTAGTTATGGAATGTCATATATTCACACTGACACTAGACTTGAAAATCACGAAATTATATTCAAAATTATTCATAAATACTTAATAATTGAAATATCAATAAAAAAAAAGTATATGTGAGGCTTTCATTCCAATGTGTTGAATATTTTTGTAGTAATCACTTATAAATCTGCACAAAAAAAATGTTAAAAAGATTTTTGAGAGTCATAAGGTAGCATGTCCACTGTCATATTTTAGCTTTTGCTAGTCTTAGTGTTGAGAGTTTGGGGACATATATGATATTTCTCAAAAATTTAATCAATAATTTGAAAATCCTATAAGTGTTTAAGTGAGACTAGATAAAAATAATTCATAAAGCAATAATAACCTAGTTCAGATGTCCAATATATTTTTGAATGTTAAATTATTAAGTGCTTCTGTTGAGAGGTTTTTTTTAATTTTTGAATTCTTGTGAAAAGTATGTGTATTTTTCTTTTGATAATTTTCCAATTCTTGTGAAGAATATGTGTATTTTTCTTTTGATAATTTTCCATTTGATTTGTTAGCTTTTATTTTTTTTTTGTTTATATGTCTAATTGTACTTTTATAATATTTGTACATCATTTCAATTAAAAAAATTGGCCATATACAGTATGTACAAATACACATTAATCATATTTTTTTTATTCTCAAACATTTTTCTTTTTAATAATTCAAATGTCAATTTTTAGGCTGCTATATATCTATTAAAAAACTCAATTACTACTGTAGTAATATTATTTTAGTATGAAATATTTTTTAAACTAATTATATATCATGAAAAAATTAAAGAGAAAAGACAAGGAAGCATCTCTGAACATTTTTGTCATATATATGATAAGAGAGAAATAGTTTGATATGAAGAGTGTTATATATATCTAAAAATGCCTTATTACAATAGATTCTAAGACTTGATACTGATTTAGCTGTACTTTAATAGGTTCGATGATGGCAACATCTAAACTAATTTGTTGCATTTAGTTATTAATAAAATTGCATACACATTTTTAAGGATATTTTATTTGTTTATTCCTTATAACCTTCTTGGTTTTCTTGCATTGACATTTCCAATATGCCTGAACAAATTATAGACATTATTACACTATGTCTTCACTCCACAATAATCTATTAACTTGAGATTTTATCTATTTTCAACCATACTATAACTAAATATTTTCACTAAGACTATTAAAGAGTTGTAACTAAAAATTATATAAAACTACATTTATCATACTACATACTTTTATTTTGTTCAACAACTACTTAATATTATAAACGACAACCACAATGCAAACAAGAAAATACACAACTTGATACATCAATATTACATTACAACTATTTTAATTACTCAGTCTAACTCACCACACTCATGGATAACAACCTTTTTAGAAGGTCTACCACTTTTTGAGCCAAGGTTTTCCATTTTACGCACAACATCCATTCCTTCCACTACTGAACCAAATACAACATGTTTTCTATCTAGCCATGGGGTTGTAGTGGTTGTTATGAAGAACTGAGACCCATTCGTGTTAGGACCAGCATTAGCCATAGATAAAATCCCCTGGGCCGGTATGCTTCAACTTAAAGTTCTCATCTTGGAAAGTTCTACCATAGATAGACTTGCCCCAGTGCCATTATGATTAGTGAAGTCTCCCCCTTGACACATAAAGTCAGGAATAATTCTGTGGAACGATGAACCCTTATAACCAAATCCCTTCTCTCCAGTACACAGCGCTCTGAAATTCTCAGCAGTCTTAGGAACCTCTTCAGTGTTCAGTTTCATAACTATGCGACCTAAGGGTTCGCCATCGGCAGTAACATCAAAGAACACTTTTTTTTCTGGCTGTGTAGAAGCAAAACGCAGAGAGGCCGCTGAATATAATGTCCCATTTATAAGGGTACGGCGTAACATTGCCGTCAAAGCCATGATTGTAACTGTAAAAAATTTTTAATTATATTTTACAATATAAAAAAGTGTTTCTTATCATATACAAATCTCGGTTGAAAAATATATTATTCACTAACCTCAATCTCGTTAGCAGATGGCCCGTGACAGGAATATGCCGAAAAACTTAAATGTCAAGTGTCAAGTGATATTTGAAATAATTAGCAGATATCGTATTCCTGACTAGTTTTCATATTATATTAACTTAATATGAAGGGTGAAAACTAAAATCTTTTAAATTTATACTCCAAATTTATTTTATTGTGTTACTTTTGTAATACTAGATCCTACAATCACTAAATAATACCAAATGAAACTCGAAAATCAATTCAATATTTTTAAATCATTTTCTAATATAATTTTAATTTAATGACAAATTCTTTATTATTGGTGTTTACGGTTTAAATAGTATCATTTATCTTTAAACTTAGGGTAATAATCTTTTCAATCACCAAAAATATTGTGAATGCTCAAAAGTAAAAAAAAATAAAGTAAAATAGTCAATGTGTAATCTTTTGATTGACATATAAAAATACTACCTCCAAAAAATATAGGCTAAGCTATAGTTTCGCAATTTTTAGGATTTTCGCCAATTTTTCACTTAAAATTGAGAACCTTTTGATTGATTGTATTTTTAAAGCATTGCCTTAGTGTGATTAACCAAAGAAAATTTTAAAAAGTTGTTTTAATTGTTATTTTAAAGATTGATAAGCAATTTTCGAGCAATAACCTATAAGATGTTTGTTTACTATTAGTGAATAATACAAAATAACACAAAATATTGTGAAACATTGCACTATTGTTGCGTATGTGTTTTTAAAATCCTGTATTTGAAATTACTAAAATGTATAGCTTAAGATTAATAACTAAACACATCCACCGGTCTCTAGTACATAAAAGTTTCATTACGAAAAACAAACCAAAATTGGTACAAATTCCAAGATATTACTGTGCTCAAAAAAATCCTGATTATGAACTAGGTATTTTTTTATAAAGCAATTAATTTTGTATAAAATAACACATTTTACTTATTAAGTTTCGTGACCTGTATTCTCTTTCAGATAGTATAGTAAATGAAATATGTAAAGGTGATGCAGAATTAGAAAAAAGACTGAGAGTTTTGACACTTGAGGTAGAAGTAATGAGACAAGACGGTCGCTGTGCACCAGATTATCTTAAATTAGATCATTGGAAGCATTTGCTGGACTTGCCTAGTAGAAATCAGAGATCTAATTATTTGACATTCCTCTGGAAAACCGAAAAGACGAAAGAAAATCAGAAAGTAAATATAATCTTACAATTTATAAATGTGAAGAATATTATGTCAATCCAGTTTTCTTTTTTAATATAGAGAAAGAAGGAGCAGAGGAGAATTGAACTTGAGAATTCACCACCAGAAGAAGAGAAACAGTATCCAGATGATTTGCTTTATGGAATTAAACATCAATCTTTATTCTTACGCATTCGAGACCAATCTATTAACTATTTTGATAATTATCGGTAAGCACATTATTAAATGTATTAATAAGGCCACTATTGTGGCAAAAAAAAGTATTGTAATCTTAAAATATTATACATGTATTAAATTTTCCTCAGGGCTCTGTCAGCTATGATCCGTGGTCAATCAGTTGTCATTGATTGTTCTTATGAAGAAAACATGGTGTGGAGAGAAACAATGAATGCTGCTAAACAAATGACTTTTGTATTTGGAGACAATAGAATACACAAACAACCTTTTAATTTACATTTGTGTAATGTTGATCTGAATGGTCAATTCATGAAGCAATTACATAAGAATATACCATCTATTGATGAACCTTGGTTTCCCCTTAATATTCATACTCAAAGCTACCTAGATGTATTTCCTAAGGAGAAATTAGTATATCTCACTCCACATTGCCGAGAGGAATTGACAAGTTTTAACCCTGATGATGTGTATATTATAGGATGCATGGTGGATAAAGTATGTATTGACATTTTTATGTTTTAGATCAGTTTTAAATTTCATTTTTAAATATTTCTTTATTTACAGATGAACAATGAACCTCTTTCATTAGCAAGAGCAAAAAGAGATGGCCTTAGAATGGCTAAACTGCCTTTAGATAGGTATCTAGAATGGGCTCCGGGTTCCAAAAAGAACTTGAATATAAATCATATGGTTCCAATACTTTTAGATCTAAATATGACTGGTGACTGGCAATATGCATTGAGACATGTACCCAGAAGAAAACTTATGGAGACAAAAATTATGGCTATGCAAAAGAGATTCAATTCCCCCAACATAACCAAAAAAGATCTGCTCAAAAGCCTTAATATGTCATCTAAAAAAAATAATACCCTTAATTTTAATGAAAGAAAAACAAATACAAGAAAATCCCTGTATGATGATGAAAATATATAATGTAAATGTTATAATATGTAGAAATAAAAATAAAGAAATTTAAATAGTTTTTTTATTTTATTTATCTATTAGCCTTAAAAATGTATATTTACCCTTTATAATAAATGTTTTATTCATTTTCTTAAAAATAAGAAATCTAGATTTTGTACAATATAATAAGAATCTAAACCAAAAAGACACTTCATGTATATTATTATATACATCACATAATCTACGTTTTGTGAACATTTTTATTGAACCAGTGCTAAAGTTTCTAGATAGCAGAATCTATTCACGTACATAACTCAATTGAACTTGATAATCTCAATTATTTTAAAATGTTTGAAAAAGCTGAAAATCCCTGAATAAAAGCTATACAGAAAAGAATATTTGATAAATCACAGTTCCAATTTCATTTTTCCTAACATTATTCTCTAGTATTAATTAGGAACTCCCAAATAACAAAGTAATCTTCGTGTTCAAGTCAAAATAAAAAAACATTAAAAGCACAATTTTTTTTCACTATGTGAACATGCAAAATATTTTTTTTTAATACAATTCATTTTGATTAACAAGAATTCGCATTTTTAAAGAATATATCATTTTTCTTTATACAATAAACTTATTTATTTGAAATTATTAAAAAAAAATAAAAGACCGATAAAGTATTTTTTTAGGTGAAACTGTGATTAACTTTATATTACCATTACTTCGGAATTCATAGGAATAAAAGGTAGCTTAAAAAAATAAAATTTTAATCAAAATTTTAAGTGAGATCATTTAGATAGCTTAGATATGTTACAGGAATTAAAGTATATAGATTTTAAGAGAATTTTTTCGATAATTTTACTAACAAAATTTTAAATAACAAACTTAACAATAACAATAGTTATTTAGGGTAAGCTTTTATACATTTATTTTCAGCTCTTAAACAGAATCCGCTTTAAGACTTTACATTTATAAATATGTTATACCTTGGAATCTAATACAATGTATATGTAATTATTAAGATTAATGTCATTAACTAATAAGTGTTTATTATCTTCAAAGGCTTCGTAAAACATATATCATATCCTATTGCACTTTAAAATGTTCTATCGAATTCCCTACTTATATGCTTGGCATATATTAATACATTCGTCTTACACACTCCTCAAATACAAAAAACCAAAAAGTTAAATATGTACCGGAGTTTTCATGTAGAATGTAGATGATAACATGCTATATCTACAACTTAATACTAAATCGACACTGCATATAACAAACTATTATTTCATATAAAATATAAAATTTTTATTTTTAAATTATATAACTTAAGGCATAGGTAATGTACGCATGTCAACATCAGCGGCAGTCTCGGATCGTTGTTTGATTGTGGCAAGGATCTCTTGAAGATTTGAAGGTAGAGCTATTTCATCCAACGTAACAACGGGCGCCGAGGGGGGGGTCAGCGGTCTCGATGGCGAGTAGGCCTCGTTCTAAAATAAAAATTACGTTACTAATACGAAATTGTAACAACCTTGATGAGAAAATTGACCGTTTGAACGTGAATTACAAAAAAAAATAAGTATTCTACAGAATTTCATACAATAATGTGGTCGTTTTAAACAAATAGTGTTACATCCTAAGTATTTTTTCTTAAACATGTTTACTGTTCAGTCAGGGGGGGTTTAAAGAAACATGTTATATAGAATATAAAGTGTAGCTTCACCAAGTAGATAGGTCCTACCAATATATAATTAGAGATATGTAATATGCAAACCCTGTTTTACTTTTTAGCATTATGTCAGTATTTGAAAATTGAACCAATTTTATATTATATTCAACCTAAAATAGTTTTTTTTTATAACGTATGTACTATATAAACTCACTTCGCCGTCAGCGGATGAGTCAGCTTGTGCCATTTTAAGTATTTGTTGTTTTTGCTCTTCAATCTGTCTGTTCAATTCCTCCATTTTACTTCTCAGTGTGTTTGGTGGTAGGGAAGGTCCCGGGCCACTGCTGCTGTTAGACGCTGATCCCGGACTGTAGGGCTCCTCGTCAGCAGCTACATTAATAAATAAATTATAAATAACAATATATAAAACCTTTGTAAATTACAAATTTACCATTACAAATTTTAAGTCGGGAAGAACATATTTCGATAGTATCATTGAACATGTATGTAACACGATTCTACGAAATATAACATTTAATTTGCTATACTTATAGGTATAGGTAGCTCTCTCGTCAAAAATATAATCTCAAAATTTCTTCAACGTTAAAAATATTATTATAATAAAGTGTTTCTATACCTAATGAGGCTGCGATCTTGTCTTTTACTGTTGTAGAGAGCGAGCTTGTGAACGGCGGTCGTCTGCGCGGTGATAACGGCGGGGTGTAGGACCTCTTGCGGGAGCCGCGCCGTGAGCGGGAAACCTGATTTGTTTGAAACATATATATTACTTGTATATGTATATGTTAAATTATATACAAATTTTCTATTAACTAATGTATATTTGTCATTGAATTCAAATTTTTAGTGTAATACTATAAAACAGGACATTTATGTGGTGTACAGGTAAGAGAATGAATTGTAGATAGACAACAACAGCTAGTGATAGACAGTGTCCTTTGTGTTTTTATTTTACACTGAAAGTTGAGATTTTCATCGGTTTTTTAAATTAATTATTAGTATTCGATACCGAGGGATAAACTTCAATGTAGTAATTGTTATATCATGACGAAAAATCGTTAAAAGAATTTGTTTTTATCTGTAAAATATTTAAAACTAACATACTTTTCTACGTAATCATTGGGTGGTAGAAAAAGAAGTCAAAAATAATCAAGGGTACCTATTAATATAAAAAGGGTTTTTCTTTTTATTTTTTTATATTTGGGGCGAAAGTAATAGTTTATTAAGTTCATCCATCAAGAACTAACACAGTATAATTTATTAAAATAATATTACACTTGTAAAATAATATATTACAATAAATAAATAATAAAGTCGATTTTATTTATTTACACTTTGTACAATACCATATATTTATTATGGTATTAACTGACCTTTGCCGGTATAATATCTTTGGGAATGTTAGGAGCTAATCTTTTTTTCCTTTGACGTATGATGATCGAGATTAGAAGATGTGTTTTAACTTCCCCTAAACCGGGACCATCTAAAGGTAGTAGAACGTCTGGGAGACTTGTGTTGGCTGGTAAGGGGACTATGTAGAAGTCTTTTAACTGTAGCCGTATTCGTCACCTTTACGACACCTAGCCTGGAATGTACAAAACAACATAGATTAAACAAAGATATAAATGCACAAACAAAGCTTTAATAGTACAATATCGAAAATAAGTACGTAAGATAACATAGTCTTTAAAATAGACAAAAAATATATATTTTTTTATTGATTTAATTCATAAATTTTGATTTCTAGACGAATGTAATCACAACATTAGTTTTGATAACAATATATTTTATCTACAAACCTGTTCCGACTACTAAGGTAGCTGTATAAAGCTATATATTGCATTCGTTCTTCATCATTAGCAGCTTGCAATTTTAATAATACAATATCTTTGTTCCCAGCCCTTTTCATCTTAGCGATGTAGTCCCATACAGTATCTGGATTTATTCGTCCAACTATGTCCAATTCTGGAGTGAGATCGTCTTCTAAATCTACGGCATTACCTGAAACCTATACCAAAAAAATATATCAATATTTTATTGGATTTACGTAAGTAGAATAATCATTTCATTTATGGTTATTTAGAATAATTATATACCTCGTGAGCTGCAACATAGAATCTAGCTACATCCACCATATTGATACAGCCATTCCATACTGTTGGCGCTGAGTGTTCTACTGTACTAGTCGGTTCCTGGTCACTTTCTACCTCAGCTATAATAAACAATAAAATATTTTTAATTCAGTTATTACGTGTTTATGAAAAAATAATATATTCGATATGCTTACCAGATGTTTTGTCTTGATTTTCATATTTGGTTGGGGATAAGGCGATGTTAGTGTCAATTGAAAATGATCTATGTTCACTGTCGAAATCTTTTGAATACTCAGATATGTCCTTATTATATCGTTCCTCGTATACGTCTTCTCTGGATTTTCTTAAATCTTCCTCGGAGAAAGCCGACGTTATCATTGGTTCATGGGGATCATACTCAGGGTGAGTTTCCTTCATCATAGCAGATTTGGGTCTCTCGATTGAATCTGAATCTGTTGAACTGCAAAACACATTGTTTTAACGTAATTTTAGAATATACAGAATATATAAAATTAATGTAATACATACTCGTTTTTATTTTTGGCCATCGTTTCTTGTGATTTTGATCGATGTTTAAATTTATCATCAGAATTCTGTCTGACTTTGGAACGCGATCTTCGTCTTCTCTTCGTGCTGTCTCTTGACCGAGACCGTCTTGACCTAGATCTAGATCTATCTCGACCGCGGGACTGTGATCTAGAATTATCTGTGGAATGTCTCTTCTTCCCTCTTGATCTAGATCTACGTCTAGAACGTTCTCTTGAAACTGATTCCTCTCTAGATTCCTTCTTTGATTTCGAGCTCGATCTACTTCTTCTCCGCACGCGCCCTGATGATCTTCTTTCTTTTTCTTGTACATCAGATTTCCGTCTCGTCGATCTCGACTTGCCCTTATCTGAATTCCTTCTCGATTCTTTATCTTTTTTTCTGGAACTCTTTCGGTTTTCCTTTATCTTTTTTCTTTGTGTGTTTTTTCTGAGATTCGTCCTTTTTGTTACTGAAAAATAATTTATGAATATAAAGATTACATAGCTAATATTTTTTTATTTTTTCATTTGTTTGTCAAATTTCATTAATTACTCACGATTGTTGCGTTTCGTCTTCTACTCCATCATTTAAAGCCGTCACTATGTCTTCGACTGGTACGTTTGGATCCAATTCAGTTGAAACAGACTCCTTTGTTTCCATCACCTAACAATAAAATATTATTAATTAGTTTTCCGTGTTATTTATTGCATATTATTTATTAAAAGAACACTACACACCTCTTCCCCTTTATGTGTTTTCAGAACATAAGTTTTGCTTGCAGCTAATAGATCTATTTCTGATTTCTTTATTAATTCTAGTTGATGTTTCGCTTCCTTGTCTCTCCATTGCGCTAATTCTTGACTGGCCAATTCCTCCGGTGAAAATCTAACCTACAACATGAATCATCACATATGTGAATTTTTTTAATACAACATGAAAAACAAAATTTTTATAAACATGTAAATTAAACTTACTAATTGCTTTGGTGTAATAACTTTCTCACATATCTTCTCCCACAGTGATAAATTCTTCCTATCCTTAATATTAAACATAAGAGATCTGTATTTCGCTTTATATTTCATTCCGACGTCTCTGTTGAATAGTTCGTGTAGCTCGAGTTCCGTGTCGTAGGCAAACTGTTGTATTTCTTCTTCAGTGAACTTCGGGCCGTCATACTCCGCCATGCGACTGGCGATCTGTTCTTGAAGTGCTTTCCTAACATTTTCTCTGATAGGATCCTCGGAGCTCATCCTTGAACGTCTGTCTGGAGTGTCCTTCCTTCGTGATGTTGACGGTGATACTGAAGGTGTCTATGGTGAAACAATTATCGTTTGTACGTCAAGTTCGGCTTTAATCACAGTGTAAACAGACCAAGGTTAATGGCATTACATAATGTTTTATTACTGTTTTGTAAATCACACCATAAATATACGGACAAACAAAAAAAAGATATTTTATTTTATATTTTTGGATATGAATTAATTTTGGGATAATTTAATGCAATTAAAGATTTACATAATTTGAATTGTATGTCACAAATGTATTTTTTTTAAATATATTACATACTATATAAAATACACAATACTATTTTAGATATTATGTATTGATTATATATAAACTATACTCAGAGTATATTAAATCTTTACAAACCTTCCGCTATAAATAAAAAAAAATTTTTTTATTTTATACTATAAACACCTAAACATCCTACCTTCCCGATCTAAGCTACAGAATAAATCAATATAATATGTATATACTTAATATTTATCACTCGGGAATCAGAAACAATATCACATTCACGTGAACTCTATTACTATGGCAGTTGAGTTTAAAACGGCGTGTTGCTAACATCGCTACACGATAGATGAGTAAGCGCATGTTGGCGCGGAAGTTTTCGGTACTGAATAAAAGATTAGATTTTAATAGCGATGTTTGTTATATGGAACACTTCAAGAATAGTATTCAGATATTAAAATAGGTAAAAACTGTGAAAAAAATATTATAAAAGGGAATATATAGGTTTGGTGTAAGTAATCCAAAAATCAGATTTATATTTGGCTAATTTTGTTTGAAATAATTATAAGGTTTTAGTGAAAATGTGAGTATCCAAAAACAAGTTGCATTGATATATTACCTTTTCGACGACCGGCTGAGATTTACTTGAACTAGCGCGAGCAGCTTTCTTTCCTTCGTTTGTAACTTTGTTAGACGACTTTGGGGTCTCGACTGTAGGAGGTTGTGATTTCGGCGTTGTGGGAGTTTTTGGTGGAGCAATCGGCTTCACCTCTTCTTTTGGAGATATAATAGGTTTTTCTTTTTCCTTTGGTTCGTTTGACGGAGATTTGAGAGGTGGAGTTTCTGAAGATTTTCTAGGAATCCTTGCAAAATTCAAAGTAGTTTGTATTTTTGCCGGTTCATTCAGCGATTTCTTACGAGTAACGTTGGGTTTGATGGCGCTCAATGTCCCTGGCCGCACCACTTCGAAAGTAGGATTCTTTTGCAACCAGGCCTTTAGATTTTCAGCAGTGGGCGCATTCGGACCGGCAAGTAGCCTTCCTGATTTTCTTTCATAAACGATAACCTTAAAAGGAAAAATTATATATTTCAATATGTTGAAATTTGTATACTTTTAGAAAAAAAACCACTACGTGGATCATTGCCGATGCAAGGTTGTGTTTTCTTGCGCCGTCAATAACCTTTCTGTTGCTACAAACATTGCTTACCCTGGATTCAGAATTGGGTTTCTCATTTTTGCCACTAGTGCTATCATTGTTTGGGGGCGGTGCTATGACTCCCGAGGGAGTCTTGAGCGTGTTTAAGAATACATGCATCACTGCAATAAATACTACTAGCACGTGCAGGTTTCTTACAAACTATGCAAGTTGTTTTTGAGGGCAATTCTTTTGTGATAGCAGTTGGTGTACTTACTCCTACATTATCCTTTTGTGCTGTCGGTACCTAAAAAAGATTACATATACAATTATAATTGATTATTAAATTTACAGATCTTCAGAAACAAAATTAACAGTTTTTTTACCTTGTTTGTATTTTTTGCCGAGGCTTTAGCATTTTTGACACAGTTAGGGCACCTCCACTCAATTCCTTGATCTTCCATCTGCTGGCCCATGGCTTTTGTAATGTTGACACATTTTCCATGGAACCAGTCCTCACAGCCATCACAACATATCATAAATCTGTTGTTATGTGGTTGTTTACATATACACCAAAGCCTGCGAAAAATAATCCATTATATGGTTACTTATATTTAAACCAAGACTCAAATCAAATTACTAAGAAAAAATCGTAAATTTACCTGTTAGGGTCATCTTCTGAATTCCAACTCTCTTGAGATTCCGCTGACATTTTATCGATAACTGCCATAGGAATGCTTTGCTCTTGCTTCTTAGTTACTAATTTCTTATTTGTGTACTGTTTAGAAACCTGCTGGACTAAGGGTTCTGGTGTCACTGACACAGGATGAGTAGGGGTCGATGAACCTAATGCCTGTGTTGTTTCCACGGGTTGCTCCACTTGAGTTTTTCTCTTAGACGACCTTGTGGCTGGTGCTTCAATGGGAGGTAGCGTTATAACTCTGCCGTCTCGCCTGACTATTTCAATGGGATCTTTACGTTGAACCATAGACTTAACGGCCTTTGGCGGTGGCGTATAGAGATCGTTAGAGGTTGACTGTTGGAATGGCGAAGATACTGCTGTTTTCGCAGAAATATCAACTTTTCCTAATACCTGCTTATCTATTACCTCTTGCAGATTCTCTGAACTCTCGACCAATTGAGCTACATGCATTAAAAAATCTTCTGTTAAACCGTCTTCTTCTGGTTGTAAGCCTCCTAATAAATCTAACGTCGGAGAGAGTGGGCCAGCCAAACCTGGGCTATTAATGACATGAGAAGATATGTTTGGTTGTGCTTTAATCATTTGAGGTGTATCCTGCAGTATTTGAGCTAAACTTGCATCATCAAGTTGTGGTATTGGATCATAACTTTTTGAAGTACATGGTATTTTGGTCTGTTTCATTAAAGGTTTCTGAGCTGTTATCGATTTCATTTCCTCTGTACTGCTAGGTTTGGTCAATATTTTACCTTCAATGGCTTTAATGGGCTTGGCTATATCATTGAGAGTTTTATTCAGCAGGATAGGTTCTTTATCTGCTTTAGAAGGCACTTTGTTTTCAGTAGAAACTCTTCTTATGACATCTGGTGTAGAAAACAGGGAAGTCATGTCTGTCAACAGAGCTGTCATATGTGCTGGTGTTTTTTTGTCCTTCTTAACAACTTTGGATGCTGATTTTGGTGTTACTTTACCAATATCAGTGACAGTAGGCGGTGAAACTGATACCACTAAGGAATAATTTTGATTGTTTTTAACTGGTTCCGCTTCCATCATCTTCTTATCTAACATAAGATTTTTATTTAATAGTTTTTCTTTGATATCTTTTTTGATAAGGTTTTTATTAGCCTTAAGTCGAGATGGTACTTTGGTTTCAATTTTAGCGGTTCTGGGGGGCGGCACCATTTTAAGGATTCTTGGTTTAGATTTTATCTTTCTTTGCTTGATAGGGGCTGTCTTATCTTTGACATCTTTATAATCAGAATCAGAATCTCTATCTGCCGTACTATCACCTGAAGAGCTGACAGATGACGATTCAACATTTTCATCTGTTTTAGGTTGAGATTTGGTAGACTTTTCCGATTCATGTACTTTAGATTTCATTAGCACTGGTAAGGGTTTAGTTAAAATGTCATTTCCTTTAAGTATTATAGGCGGTTCTGATGTGTTTAAAATGATTTTTTTCCCCTTCGGAATGATTTGCTGTTCTAATATGGTTATCTTTTTGGGTGTTGCCACTGGTTTGGGTGGTGGTGTATTAGTAATTTCAATAACTGGATCGTCATATGCTGCAAAACTGTCATTTCTCTGTGGTAATATTTGACTCGGTGATGTAAGTGGTGTATAACAATGATCATTTTGAAAGCCTACAAGGCTATTTTCTCTGGTTTCTATTCTCAATGACTGTAACATTTCTGCTCCACTATCTAAAATAAAAAAACGTTTTATGTGATAAAATTTTGTAATTTGTAAGCTACGATATTTGAGCTCAATAGTTACATACCATATTTGATTATGCTTGCAGGTTCATTGTAATAGCTGTCTACTGATAATGTAACGTGAGGCACTTTATCATCCTCATTCTCTGAGTCAGTCGCATCATCTGGCCGGCCCTCATGACCAACACGCACAACACTGATACCAGCAGATTGAGAACCATCTGTACCTAAATATATTTTTATTTTTAAATATATGTATTTATACAAAAATCAGCGAAATAAACTCAAAGAGATATATATTACCATATTTTGATACTATTATTATATCTTTGTTTATTATTTAGAATTTAGATAATGAAAGAAATAGCGGGAAAATTACAAGTAATGATTTTATATTGATTACATCGGATGGAAGATTTGTATATGCTTTCTAATGCAAACCATTTTAATAGATAAGATAGTTTGTTTATAAGTATAGTTATTTAGCACTCACCCATCAGAGTACCAAGTAAATTCTGATCAACCGACAACGATCCATCCTTGTTTACAATAACAACCACAGAATTATCAGATTTCGTGGAGGGTCCATTTAAGTCCGTGTAATTAGTTATAACTGTGTTAGACATTTTAACAACTATTAATACAACGAGCTTTATGCAAGTCCTCTATTTTTAGCCAACTTTGAACACACATGCCATCGCGTCTATCTATAAACACAATCGAGTACTGACGCCATTTTGAATTCAATCTAACAAGAAACAGCGCGGCAATGCGACTATAGTAAACACATAGCACTTAAAGATGGAAAAACTAAGAAAAGCCACTGGATATCACAATTTTGTTGGTATACGCCATATATTTACTTAAAAAATATATATTTTATATCATATTGTCACAAAACAAAATAACGCGGACACCAAACCAAAATGCTATAGTAGATAAAAACAAAATGTTGTTCTTTAAGTGTCAGCTTTTGCACAGATTATTAAAATGATAAAAAATTCATATAAAAATTATATTGTATATTGAAGGAAAACGAAACTGTATTAGAATAGTTAGAAACCAATTTTATTTGAGCATTTAAATACTAATTGTTAGATCATAATAGAAAATCAAATATTTATATTATAAAAAATTTTTTTTTATTCTTCAATAATAGAACTTTTCAATACTTAGAGATTTGATTGTAAATAATAATGTTGCAAAAAAAACTACACCAATAAAGTAACGTTTCTTAGTTCTGTTCTTATCATAATTACAGCATTCACCTCAGAAAGTAATAGGTTTATGTTAATAAAATAAATTGAATGTTGCTCTTTAAAAACTGTTATTGAATACATTATTAATAAAAAATATGTTTTGTTTAAACAATTTTTTTTGTCTTAAATCTTTTTAAAAAAACAGATGATGTGAATCTGTTGATTTTGTACTTAGTTTTAATGTTACAATATTTAAAAAAGGTTTACGAAAATATTAATGCATGTATATTACAAAATATATTGTGAATAAATTGTTTCTAGCATAAAAAATTGAAAAAAAATTAGAAAAAAAATTTTTTTTTAACTAAATCATCCAAAATATATTACTGTATTTAGACGTGCTGAACGTTTTCTAGTATTAAAACCTTTATTTATGTAAAGGAATACTAAGATAAAAGAAGATATAAATAATTTCCGAAGTTCTGTCTTCGGGAATTTACATTAAAGTTCTTAAGCAAAATTATTGACTCTGTAGTCTGTTCTTTTTGACACATTGCTTCTATGACGCGTGTGTCTCCTGTAGTTCTATAGTTTTTGAAATCTGTCACAAAAAGTGTGGTGTGGAGTTGTCGACTTGTTAACTACATTATTGGTTATATTTTCTATGTAAACGAAAAGAAACTACTACAAAAATGAGTTACTCTAAGTTTGATCTTACGTTTAAAATTGGGCAGTATTTGGATCGACATTTAGTCTTTCCATTACTAGAATTCTTAGCCGCTAAAGAGGTACTAGTCACTATCGTAGACGTATGAACTAAAAAATTGTTGTAAATATTCAATTTGATATGATATATCTTTTTTAAAGTTATTTTATTTATTTAGTAACAGAAATTAATGGATTGTATAGTGAATATTTTTTAAATATCTACGATTTACTTGAAAACTTTCCATTTCAGACATATGACCAATCTGAACTTTTACAAGCTAAGTTAGAGATTTTAAGCAAAACTAACATGATCGATTATGTGATCGAAATAAGAAGTATGCTTTACCCCGACGACGACACACCAGAGGTAAATAAAACATTATTTTTTATATACATACATATTAACATATACTAAAATTACTCACTAGGTATTCAAAAAGTATTTTGTTCTTAAAATTCCTAATATATATGTACATGTGATATAATTAATTGTTATTTTTGAAGGAAATTAAATCTAGAAGAGGAGTAGTATTATTGCAACTGCAAGAGCTCCAAGATGCAGTGGAACCAGTTTTAAAACTGATGCAGAGAGATGATGTTATGAAGACTGTAGAAACTATGAGGGATCCCAAAACTCTTATAAACTACCTGACCACCAATAAGGAATTTGATGTAATATATTTTTAAAGTTATTATTTATAGATTATTTCATACTTCAACAAACCAAGAACTTTGTTTATGTATATGTCATAATATCACTACCCTCTCTTGAATATTTGTTATCCTCATTGGTTGGGTTGCCTGTAAGAGATCACTTGTAGTGATAAGGCTGCACTTGCCTTAAATTTTCTGTATTTAAATGTAATCTTATTTCCTATGTTTTTGAGTGCAATAATGTATATTTCTTCTTCTTCTTCTAAGAACAAGGTGATATAAAAACTTTTTAAATAACTTTTTTTTAAATTTCAGTTCAAAATAGAGATGATAGACAGTATGTATCGTCTAGCTAAATATCGGTATGAGTGCGGTAATTATGTGGAATCAGCATCATACCTATACTTCTGTCAACTGGTTCTGTCACCCACTGATAAGGTAAATAATGCTTTTTTTATATTTCAAACACTATATAAGCTATACACATATTTATCGCCGTTAACACAATCATATATTAATAATTATTTTTTTTATAATAGAATCTATAATCTCATTATTTATTTATTCTGGATTGTGTACTGTAGCTTGTATAGTCAAGACATATGTATTTCCTTTTTATTAAAACCATTTTTTTTAAGTTTAATTTAATGTTAAAAAAATTTAAGTGCAGTCTTAAAATATTCTCTTCTTATGACTAAATTACATATTAAAAACTCAAAAATTCAAAGATAAATTGCTCTTATTCAATTCCTGGGATGAATTGTTTGTATATATTTTTTTTATCAAATCTACAAAATAATTACATTATTGTTATGATAATAAGCTAGGAATAGTATTGAACAACAATACTAAATGTACAACTTATTTACTATAAACTTGTTTGATGAAGTTAAATTCTATAAGCCAATTGAGCTTTATTTAATTTTATTACTATTTTTGAATAAAAAATGGGAAATTAGTGTATAAATAATAGTAAATATATTTTGTTTAAATTTTTTTCTATATAAAGACAAATAATACATTTAGTATATCAGGTTGGAATAAAATGACTTTAATTTTTCAATTGATTTATTATAAAATGATGTTGTACTTCACAATCCATGTGCCTAATTATTTAAAAAGCTTCATTGTTCCACTGTAGTTATCCTAGTAGAAAAAGTATTGTTATTAAACATCATAGAATGACTATCAAATATGTTAAATACTTACAATACAATGAAATAATTCCATTGTCGTAGTGCGGGTGGCACTGGTTTCTATGAGTCTCTAGTTGCATCGTAGTGTTGAACCATTGACCACAAATTTCACACTGATAAACTAGTGTGGGTAATGTGCAGTCACTTTCTTCCGATATCTTCGGTATGAAGTGACTCGATTTGTACCTGAAATTAAATATATGTATTTAATTGCTAACATCAATCAATATGTTCTATGAGAAAGTTTAATTCACCTGTGATTGTAAAGCTGGTTGTAATTTCTGAATTTTCGATCACATGCATTACATAACAACATTTTTGGCAATGAGAACTGGTAGCACATTTTCAACCATGGGCATATCAACCAATGCTGCTCAGCAGTCTTGTAACAAGAGAATGCAATGTCACATGCATTGCATTCATAGTTATTTGTTACTGTATGCATTTTAGAATGCCTTAATATTCTTGGTATGCTTGTGAATACCTTTTCGCAAAATTCGCATTGCAAAAGCGATGAAGTCTTTATTTCTCTAACACAATCAGTGTTTTCAGTTTTACAGCATTTATTTGCGTGCTTATAAGCTATGTCTTGTCTAGGCCATACTTGAAAACATTCAGTACATGTCCACACAAATTGCCATCGTGGCTGGGAGTCTGAGCTTATATGTCGCACTGAGTAATGTCTTCGTAATCCTGTTTCGTACACAAAACATTTACCACATTCGTCGCATGGATAAGACCGCATCGATTTTGGGTTTATTGTATCCGATATCTCTTTCTTTTTAGTGTAATTCAAAGCTCTATTTAGCATATGAATGTTTTCCATTATTCTCGCGTTATTTTCCTTCACCTTTTCTAGGCTATATTCAAGTGGACTTATGACATCAGTTTCATCACTCCCTAGAGTAAAACTGTCCGGTTGTGTGTTCTGAATGTTTTTATTTTCACTCATTGGATATTTGTAGTGCAATGGTGTTAATTCGGTGAACATATTTGATTTCTTTTTTAAGCTTTCTCTTACATCATTGCCGATCACGATAGGTTTCGTAACTGCTTTCAATAAATTATAATCCATTGTAAAATTCTTCGGAGTATCAAAGACGCATTGGCCGATATTGTTTATTTTATGTGAACAGAAATCTAGATTAAGATCACTCGTGTTTTCCTCCGTAACTATTTTCACTACCAAGCGCGATTTTTCTTTGTCCTTTTTTTTAACATCATCTTTACCATCTCTCCACATCCCATAAATTGTGCCTGACGAATCGTCATTTTGTCCAATAACTATGTGCAAAGTTTGAAAATCATTATCATTTTCATATCTTTGAACAACCAATTTAGATGCTGACATCTTTTCAACTGTCTTTACATTTAAATGTCAACTTAACATAAAAATATTATTTGAAGGTCTTACGATGGAGGTTTAATATGATGACTGCAACATTGTTTACTGCCAAATATATTTTGAGGTTTTAGTTTAGAAAATATTAAAGTTTAATTATTAAAAACATGAAGTTTGTACTTCATTTTGCTAATAATTAAAAAAATATCATACTCATTTGTGTGGTATGATGAATTTTCAAGTAGAAAATATTGAATGATAAATTGTCCCACCTATCTGCAACTTCTGTTATTTTCTGAGTCTTTTAAATTTAAACTAACAGTTAATAATATTAAAATCATTTCGCAGAATTATCTATCGGTACTCTGGGGTAAGTTAGCCAGTGAGATTCTGGTCCAGAACTGGGATGGTGCTCTCGATGATTTGACCAAGTTGCGTGAATTCATCGACAACGGTGGTGGTGGCGCCACCGTCAACAACATGCAGGCCCTGCAACAGCGAACCTGGCTCGTACACTGGTCACTGTTCGTGTTCTTCAACCACGTCAAAGGCCGCGACCTCATCATTGAAATGTTCTTATACAAACCATTGTAAGTAAAAATTCTCTTACATTTTTTTTTTAATCGGATAGGATACATAACGTTTTAATTTTTCTATTCAGGTATCTAAACGCCATCCAGACGATGTGTCCCCACATCCTCCGCTACTTGGCAACTGCTGTTATCATAAACAGATCGCGCCGGAACGCTCTTAAGGATCTGGTGAAAGTAATTCAACAAGAAGCATATACTTACAGGTAAGAACAGTTATATTATTATTTACATTTTGAAATATTTGATATAATTTAATTTATCCATTATATTATTTTCAGAGACCCAATCACTGAATTTATTGAGCATCTCTATGTCAATTTCGATTTTGAAGCAGCTCGCAGGAAATTAAACCAGTGTCAAGCGGTTCTTCTCACCGATTTCTTCTTAATAGCGTGCTTGGAGGAATTCGTAGAGAACGCCCGTCTCATGATCTTCGAGACTTTCTGTCGTATTCACCAAGTCATCAGTATTGGGTACGTACATTTTATTAACAACAAAATATTTTAGTTCTAAAAAAATTTGTTTTGCTAAATAGGTCTAAGAATTGTTTTTTTTTAAAGAATGTTAGCCGAGAACCTCAACATGCAGCCAGACGAGGCTGAGTGTTGGATTGTAAACTTGATCCGCAACGCTCGTTTGGATGCTAAGATTGATTCGAAGTTGGGTCACGTGGTGATGGGAGCACAGCCTCTGTCTCCGTACCAGCAGCTGGTGGAGAGAATCGACTCGCTCGCCGTTCGTTCCGAGGCATTGTCGTCACTCGTAGAAAGGAAACAGAAGACACGCAACCAAGACGTAATTATTATTTATATTATAAAATGTTTAATCTTTTGTCGTTTAAGTATTCACTTATTTTCAAACCTGGCGCCAAAAACATTGATGTTACAAGTTTATAGTTGATATTTGTGGGTATCTGTCTTTGCCTTGATCTTTCAAACCGATTGATCGAGTGCTACAGCACAGAATATACATTTTGACTGTGTGCTACAGCACATTGAAATATTCATGTCATATGCAGGTGACTGGTGTACTATCACCAAAAAAGAGGTCATTCTCATTCGTAGAAAAAAAAATATTTTTAATAAATTTTATTGAGTACACGTTCCTTTTGGAAATCAATTCACGCGTGTGTGTGTGTGTATATATATATCTTCACACGATGCGTAATTAATCATAATGGTTAACTTTACTTAGAAGTTGATTAATATTTATGTTAATTAATTTTTATTTTGTCATATATGATCGTCAAATATCACGTCCTCAAGTATCGATAGTAATTCAAGACACCCTGGCATACAATCTATATTCTTTAGTATTGATTTTTAGTTATTACTTATTTAATAGTTAAAATTCATAACAAGAAATATAAATTGTAGTATATTGTTCGAAAACCATATCTATTTGTATGGAAATTATTTATGATAGAGTTAACCATATCTTTAATTATGCTATGATAGAAATGTGTGTTTATGACAATATGAAATATATATATATTCAATGATAACATTTTGTTACAGATCCGCTGGGGAGCTCAAGAGTTTTAAATTAACTACTGTCATAAATACATTTTGTAAATGCAACATATTAAAAACATAAATATACCGAATAATGCTTTTACTTTACCTATATTTTTGTAAACCTGTCCTTTTTTAATTTATACATTAATATAAATAACCAACTATTATTTATATTATTCATCAATAAACATTAAATATTAATTTTATAGTTCAATTTCTGTTACGTTTTTTTTATTTTTTTTTGTTATAGAAATGAAATCAGCTAAATCTCCGTTTTAATAATAGTTTATGAAGTTACACTGAGCTAGCAAAATTATTTTAACTATACTTTGCACAAACACGATTCAGGGAGTTATCTAATTGTGTACCGGCTTCGTTCTATCCCAGGTGCTGTTTATGGGTCAGTGACACCTGTGATATCTGGCGGGGATAACTTATTAAATGACGATTGATCAGTTATCGACCTGAAAAAGATAAATTACTATGAAGTTGATCAAGGGTGAAAATTTAGGATTGTATGTAGTACGTTGTATCAAAAATAAAAAAAAAAAATTTAGGGGTGGAATACCCCACAAATATATAGATGTTGGCCGATTCTCATAGCTACCGAATAAGCACAAAAAATTTCATCAAAATCGGTCATCGGAGGAGTATGGGCACGAAAACGCTGGTATTTGGATTATAGAAATGAAATTATATATTTTAAACATTCTCTAAATTACTAACATGGTGAACCTAGGTATCCCTTTGCGAATAATCATTTTGATTCACATCAGTAAACGCTGGTATTTTTTTACCCTTTGCGACTCATGTTGATTTTTTCTTTTCTAATTTCGTTTGTATTGTATTTGGTATTTGTTCTTTGGGTGCTAATGCTGATATATGTTTGTTTAACAACTGGAGTAGTTCTAGACAAGTTAAATTACCACTTTTGAATGTAACTTTTTGTATATTAGCAGTTTCTGAAATCATAAAGATGTGTTCAGTACTTAAGTAAATTATTCTTAATTAAATTACTATATAATGGCATACCTGCTACGGAAGGCACCAAATTAATGTCAACTGTTGGCTCACTACGGTCACAAACGATTTCTGTCTTCAAGATGCAATTTGGATTTGTTAGAGCTACTTTGGGTGAACTCATATAATGTACAAACTGCCTAAAATAATAATTTTTTGTAAATACAGGTTAGGTAAATATATAAATTTTTTTGAATTTTTTACTAGAACATAAAATTTATATCATTACCTATTATAAGACACAAAGTGATCTCATTATTGTTAAGAAAAGTCACCCTGCAAAACAAAGGTTATAACAAAAATAAACCAAAACATACCTTGTGTGTGTAACATTATCTCCAAAGGGATCAAATTTAACTGTAATACGTTTTGCAGGTTTGAGATTAACTGCCCTTAACTGTTTTCCTATGGCAGAAACCACCCCGCCTGACCTTCTTATAGTACCACTATACGGGATAGACATATTTTCTTTCTGGAAAATACTAAATTCGGGAAATCAATTTTATCATAGACAAGTTATTGACACTTTCCCAGATCAAGCATGGGATACTCTGTATGATTTTAATGTTACATACACAGATTTTTTTAAATAATAAAATGTAATCCTAGGAATAATTGTGTTTATATAGTCAGTTATTTTAAGTTTACATTAACGCAATATCTAATAAAATAAATATGTTGGTCACACTGAAATTATAAACTTTTCTATGGTTTACATTAAATGTCAAAATAGCTGGCTAAACGTCAAGTTGCAGCATAGAGTGCAGTTTACAACCACATTCATTTTAATCACATTGTAACAAATTTAAACACGAGGGGATTCGTATATTCTTATTTTCAAGTTTTTGTTGATATAAACATATACCAAGATGTACCCCGTTGGTCAACGTAAGCTTTTATTTTCAATATCTTTAACAGCCACGACTCAGAAAGGCAGCATCATCCTTTGTTTGACTGGCCTAAATAATGTTCCAATGGGCATAATAATCGATTTGTTTAAGTGTATTACGATGCTTTATCACTTGGATAATGTTGTGTATGTAATGAATAATAGCTCCAGCGGGGGAGACGAGTGCTGGTGCAGTGGGTGTGTCGGGAGCTGTGACATCCGCAGCGGGCACGACTGGGGCCTCGCCAGGCGCCCCGACTTCCTCGCCGCCGTCCGGAGCAGCCCCGGTCGGGGTGACGAGTGGCACGCTGGCGTCCCCTGCATCCGCGCCACCTCCGGACCTACCCGTGCTCACCTGCCCCCGTCGACCCAACTTAGGCCATGAAGGCCGACCGATAATGCTGCGTGCTAATCATTTTCAAATATCAATGCCGAGAGGTTTTGTGCATCACTATGATGTTAATATACAACCTGATAAATGCCCTAGAAAGGTAAATTATCCAAGATTTACACATACATACAATAATATCTACAGTGCTCTCAAAACATCATGGTATCAATGTTTTTTATATTCTAGGTAAATAGAGAAATTGTTGAGACTATGGTACATTGTTACAATAAGATATTTGGTGCTCTGAAGCCAGTGTTTGACGGTAGAAATAATTTATATACAAGGGATCCATTGCCTATTGGCAATGACAGAGTGGAGCTGGAAGTTATATTGCCTGGTGAAGGAAAAGATAGAGTGTTTCGTGTTACTATTAAATGGGTTGCTCAGGTATGTAACATAAACACAGTAATAATAAGACAGTTTTATATAATGTAACTTTTTTTTCAATGTATGATTCACAATATCTTTATTTAACCATTATTATATTTACTGTTAAAGTTTTTTAATATTTTTTCTTTAATTTTGACTAGTTGATGCTCAACTGTTAGTTGAATTGTTATATATAGAGACAATTTATGCTTTACTTAACTAAAACACAAAAATTAAAACACATGAGGTGTTTTAATGTATAAGTATACTAGAAATGAAAACATTTTTATCCCATATCAATTCAAATTAGAGAATGAGGTTTAATTATTATTACAATATAGGTGTCACTATTTGCATTAGAAGAGGCTTTGGAAGGACGAACTCGTCAGATTCCATATGATGCTATATTAGCATTGGATGTGGTGATGAGACATTTACCATCAATGATGTACACGCCTGTAGGGAGATCATTCTTTTCATCTCCCGAAGGTTACTATCACCCACTTGGCGGTGGCCGAGAGGTTTGGTTTGGTTTCCATCAATCTGTGCGGCCCAGCCAATGGAAAATGATGCTTAATATTGACGGTAGGACTCATTTCTATATACCCATTCCTATTCACCTTCATTACAATTTACATTGTATATATTATATTAGTTAAATATTTTTCCTTGTGTTCAATATTTGGGTAGAAGATATTATTTTATTTTTGTTCCTATAGTGTCTGCAACTGCCTTCTACAAAGCTCAGCCAGTTATAGAATTTATGTGTGAAGTATTAGATATAAGAGACATTAATGAACAGAGGAAGCCATTGACGGACTCGCAAAGAGTCAAATTTACCAAAGAAATTAAAGGTCTCAAGATTGAAATCACCCATTGCGGTACAATGAAGAGGAAATATAGAGTCTGTAATGTTACTAGGAGACCAGCACAAATGCAATCGTGAGTTATAATAATTTACATTACATATATATTAAAATAAAATTTAAAATAATAATGCAAATATATAAAATTTCAGATTTCCTCTCCAGTTAGACAACGGACAGACAGTTGAATGTACTGTAGCTAAGTATTTCCTTGATAAGTACAAGATGAAACTCAGATATCCGCACCTGCCATGTCTTCAAGTGGGACAGGAACACAAACACACCTATCTCCCTCTTGAGGTGTGTAACATCGTCCCTGGACAAAGATGTATCAAGAAGCTAACTGATATGCAGACCTCAACTATGATCAAAGCAACCGCTCGCTCAGCTCCGGATAGGTAATTTATAATACTACAATTATTTACATAATAAAGATTACATAGTTTTTGCATTAATTAATTTCCTATTTGATTCTATTAACATTTATGAATGCGTAATTACAATTGGAAGTTGTCACAAAATATATATTCGGAACATTATCGAATCGCTACTAATAATAAAAAATAAGGTTTAATACTTATATTTGACCTCTTTGGTAACTTTGTTTTTTTTTTCAGGGAACGCGAGATCAATAATCTAGTTCGTCGTGCCAACTTTAATACCGATTTGTATGTGAAAGAGTTTGGTTTGACTATATCAAATAACATGATGGAAGTGCGCGGACGTGTGCTGCCGCCGCCGAAGCTCCAGTACGGCGGGCGCGTGTCCTCGCTCGGCGGTCAGGTAATATGTTTCAGTATTTTTGGCAATGCAATTACGATCTTATAATTTTAAAAACATCAAGATAGAAATACACAAGAAATAATCCAAGCCAGAGTTTCCCAACTACGGGACACCGCTCTATATTGGTGTAGAGAAAGGTCTGGGGCAGTAATAGGTATGTCTGCATGTTGGAAATTAAATTATCTATACGAAATCACATTTCAAGACTTCTGCAGAAGTTTCTACAGTAAAAATTGAAAATTTTCGACAAAGTCACATACAAAACTGTTACAGCACGATATATCATGCAAGTCGAATAATCATATTAGTACTTAAATATTATTTTCATTTTTTGTCTTAAATTTGCTTTATATATTTTCTATTCAAACATATTAAAATCAATGGATAGTACGTAAATTGCAAGTGAATATAAGTATAATTAATAAAGGGTGGACAAAAAGCTAAAACCTGCTTTGTTTCCTACCTCCTTGATTGTATTAAACTGTATAGTCGATGTCGTGTAGCAATGATTGATGATTAGTGGTTGTATTCCACAGCAGGCCTTGCCCAACCAAGGTGTGTGGGACATGCGTGGGAAACAGTTCTTTATGGGCGTGGAGATACGAGTGTGGGCCATCGCGTGCTTCGCGCCTCAGAGAACCGTCAGAGAAGACGCCTTGAAGTGAGATATCTTATATTTATTATTAAGATAGAATCTTAATTAACGTAAACATTACCCTAAAATTGTCAAAGCTTAGCTGAGACATTCTTCATACAATTGCACCATATAGCAATTTACTTTGATGAGCGAGAACTTGGAACTATAATATGTATATATAAATTCCCTTTCCTATGAGGATGTCGGAACCAATAGGTTTAACAGGAATAGATAAGTCGAAATTTTATTCCAGTTATTTTTCCCGTCATTAATTCCTGAATCAATTAGAATATATATTTTACTAATATTGTTAATTGTTATGCATATTTCCTTATCCCACACATGTTTAGAATATAGTCTGTATAATTACCATTGATAAATTACATAACTGAGTAATAATAATATAATAATTGAATGTTACAGGAATTTCACTCAACAGTTACAGAAGATCTCAAACGACGCGGGCATGCCGATCATCGGTCAGCCTTGCTTCTGTAAATATGCCACGGGACCGGATCAAGTAGAGCCAATGTTCAAATATCTTAAATCTACGTTTGTACAACTACAGCTAGTTGTTGTGGTGTTACCAGGGAAGACGCCCGTATATGGTAAGCGTTTGTTAATATTTACATTAAAAAATATATAAACATATGGTAATAATAATAATTAATATTGGCAGATAAATTTAAATGTTTTAATAACGCCATCTAGTGGTATATAAACACGTGTCTTTATTGTAAAATTTTATAACGTTAACTTTATTGTGTAATTTTATAATTTTGGAAAAAAATGAATTAAAATAAACTATACAGGGTGACAGGTGAATTACTATCAATATTTAAGGAGAATACTCGGTACATGATTCTCATTCGAATTATGTAAAAAAATAGGTACTTAATTTTTGACAAAATTTCCGTATAAATAAATAAAGTGTGGACACGTTCCAAGTGTTCCAAGTGTAGACGCGTGCGGCGGCGTGCTGATACAACACCACGCCGCCGCACGTGTGTGTATGTGTGTGTGTATACCTAATCTGTAGGGTGTTCACACGATGCGTAATTAATTACATAACTTTTGGTTAACTTTACTTAGAAGTTTATTAATATTTATGTTATATTAATTTTTATTTCGTCATATATGATCGTCAAATAGCACGTCCTCAAGTATCGATAGTAATTCACCAGTCACCCTGTATAATGTGTGTAATGTAATTGTATTATTAATTCCTCAGCCGAAGTGAAGCGCGTCGGTGACACGGTCCTTGGTATGGCAACACAGTGCGTTCAGGCGAAAAACGTGAACAAAACATCACCACAGACGTTGAGTAACCTGTGCCTCAAAATTAACGTTAAACTTGGAGGCATCAACTCTATACTTGTGCCCTCGTTACGTCCTAAGGTAAACACGATTTAATTACCAACATTTATTACTAAATATTACATAACTATATAATATGACAGACCCTGGCTAAAGCTGGGAAAAATTGCCAGGTAGAAGAAGAAGATTACATAACTATATAATATATATAAATATAATTTCCATAAAATAAGGTGAATCATTTTGTCATTACTTTATCTAAGTTTTTTTTAATTGTGACTATGGTTTCTCTTAAAAGAATTGTTTGTTATCATGCCAATGTCGATCTATTTTCAATTTTATCTTTATATAAAATAATTTAAATATACCTACTGCGTTGAAGAATAACGGAGATGATTAAGTATTAATTAATTTGATTTAAAACGATACAATAAGTTATTAAAATAACTTTTCATGGAAACCTCATCAAAATTTATTTAAAAGAAATCTAAGTTTTCCGAAAATATTTTAACTACAAATTGTTGTACTCCGATTAGATCCAAATAGGTCAGCAACCGTTCAATGTATAACCATTCAAAATATTCTTACGGAGATTTAATAAAAAAATTGCTATTTTTTTATAAAAATAAAAAAAATATGGAACGAGATATTCCAGAGGTTGCAGGTTCAATCCCAGCTAGCGTTACTGAATCATCTATTTTATTGTCATGTCTACTTGAAAATATATATAAACTAGCTTTCCGCCCGCAGCTTCGCCGCGTGGAGTTCGGTTATATCGCGTTTCCAAGAGAACCTTTCAAAAGTCTGGGATAAAAACTATCCTATGTTCTTTCTCAAGGTCAACTCTATCTCTGTACCGAATTTCATTAAAATCAGTTCAGTGGTTTACGTGAAAGCGTGACAGAACTTTCGCATTTATAATATTAGTAGGGATATGGTATATAAATGAACATTTCCAATATGTAGGTGTTCAACGAGCCGGTAATATTCCTGGGTGTGGACGTGACGCACCCCCCGGCCGGTGACAACAAGAAGCCGTCCATAGCGGCCGTGGTGGGGTCAATGGACGCGCACCCGTCCAGATACGCGGCCACTGTACGGGTACAACAACACAGGTAATATAAATAAATAATAATATGTATATAAGGATAGGTTTTATTACAACATTGCTCTACAGACTGCAGCAACATTAATTATGGGTGAAATGAAAGTGTTTGTCAATTAATCTAATTTTTTTGTCGTCTATTTCGTAATTATCTTAGCGTTCGAACCTCTTAGCATTCAATGGATTCACCGTGCGGGTGCCGGGTCCATCGATATTAAATAAACAGCTTGTTATAAACGGTTACTTGAGAAAATCTTAGATATCAATAATTTTATTCATACATAACCAAAATCAATATAATATTGAAATTAGAGACATCCAATGGCTGAAATAATATTTTAGTAATATAGATATTATACACATACATGTATAAAGAATATACAAGATCATTATGTTTAACATATTATATCATAATTGTATATAATGTGTCACACAAAATAAGTGGTTAATGTGTAAGAAGACATATATGGCCACATTACAACCATCTATACATTTATTTATATCAACAATGAAATATATTTTCAGGCAGGAGATAGTCCACGAGATGAGTAGTATGGTTACAGGAGTTACTGATAATGTTCTACAAGAGCACCGGAGGATTCAAGCCTCACCGCATCATAATGTACCGGGACGGCATCTCAGAGGGACAGTTCATACATGTGCTGCAACATGAACTCACCGCAGTCAGGGAGGCCTGCATTAAGGTTACACATATAAAATTATATATATTAGTTCTTAATTATAAATTACTAGCTTTCCGCCCGCAGCTTCGCCGCGTGGAGTTCGGTTATATCGCGTTTCCAAGAGAACCTTTCAAAAGTCTGGGATAAAAACTATCCTATGTTCTTTCTCAAGGTCAACTCTATCTCTGTACCGAATTTCATTAAAATCAGTTCAGTGGTTTAGGCGTGAAAGCGTAGCAGACAGACAGACAGACAGACAGACAGACAGAGTTACTTTCTCATTTATAATATATTAGTAGGGATAGTAGGGATTAGTAGGGATAGTAGGGATATGGAGTTAGATAAAAAATATAAGTACTATGTACTACATATAGTATGTTAAGTGTAAAGACATCATAAAGAATTGCAAATAATTATAGTTTGTTTCAATTAAATTGGCAAACTTGTTAACAAATGTGATCTTATATTGTCATACTTATATTGTCAAAGACTTGTCTATGTCCCCAGTGATGTGAGTACTCTACAAGATTAATCTTATATAAAAAAAAATCTTCAATTTGTTCCTTTTTTTTAAGTACTTATTTATAAGTGAACCTGTTTAATGAGTTTAGAAATGCAGAATACAAACGAAAACACAGAAGTTTTTTGTATCCCAATAGCACTAAAAATCCGTATTGCCTTGGGAAACAAAGGAACCCAAAGACCATGTCATAAAGGTCAATAAGTATTTCGAGATCACTAACGATTTCAAAAAATATTTAATTTGTACTTTGTAGCGCTACCTTTGTTTAGTTTCTTTTGCTAAATACCAAAAAAATGCAATTTTGACTGATTTTCGTCACAGCCAGCACGCCATAGCGCTACCTTTGTTCATTGTTGAATACACTGTAGTGATTAGTATAATCAAACCTTTTAAATATTTGTAATTTGGTTAAAGTTCAAATAATAATGACTACTAATATCTTTATTTAAAAATGAAAGTCGTGTCAGTTCCACCATTTATAGTTTAAGAACGGCTTTACTGCCTTTAGGGACAATCAGACTTCCCCCGGTCACGTATACATTTCTTAGTTTGAAAGTAAAGTAAAGGAAGTCGCGGTTAAACACTAGTTTCATTGTATAATTATACTATACGCTAATAATTTTTCAAAGACAAATATACTCTGGACGAGTAAACAATGATCGTGTCAATTTGACAAATGCAATAAATTTTCGTGTTCTAATATATAAAAATAATCCGAAACGGCTCGAAATTTTCGTGATCCTTATCGAAACTAACCAGGGGGGAGAATACACAGTTGTAGTTTAATGTTTTTTTGAAAAGTTTTTATTTTTTTATTTTACAACCCTAAAAAACATTTTTTGTGATAGTAATTTTATATAATAAAAATAAATACACAGTTGGTTAATAATTTGAGATGTAATTATTATCATTACTAACATTCCATTGTACTTAAGAACGGAGTAATCGTGGTCAGTTGCTTTGTTTACAAAATTGCCAATTTCTATTGAAATGGACTATAGAATGACTAGTTTTTGGATATATGTATAGTAGCTAACTGATGATGTATCGAACCTGGAAGTGGTTATTAATAAAATGTCGACAATTTTAGTGGAGGTAAATAAGACATTTCTTATTAACAGAAATATAATTATTCACTCATTTTGAAGTGAAGCTTAGCATTTTGTGGCATTTTTTATTATTATTTGTATCAGATCCTACACATAAAGAAGTTGTTCTAATAATAACATTACTACATAAATTCCATTACAGAGTTTTATACAGGGTGACTGGTGAATTACTATCAATATTTAAGGAGCATACTCGGTACATGATTCTCATTCGAATTATGTAAAAAAATAGGTACTTAATTTTTGACCAAATTTCCGTATAAATAAATAAAGTGTGGACACGTTCCAAGTGTTCCAAGTGTGGACGCGTGCGGCGGCGTGCTGATACAAAACCACGCCCCCGCCGCGCGTGTGTGTGTGTGTGCGTATACCTAATCTGTAGGGTGTTCACACGATGCGTAATTAATTACACAACTTTTGGTTAACTTTACTTAGAAGTTTATTAATATTTATGTTATATTAATTTTTATTTTGTCATATGTGATCGTCAAATATCACGTCCTCAAGTATCGATAGTAATTCACCAGTCACCCTGTATAAGTGTATACACATGAAATGCTATCAAGTCCACTTAGAATGACATCACTTTAAAATAAACCTTCATATATTTATCATATCCAACTTTAAAAATAACAAATTTTCATATATAATAAATATTAAAAGTTATATGTAAAATATAATGTTTACAGTTGGAAGCGGAGTATAAACCAGGGATAACCTTCATAGTGGTTCAGAAACGTCACCACACACGTCTGTTCTGTGCTGACAAGAAGGAGCAGTCTGGGAAGTCTGGGAACATCCCCGCTGGGACCACAGTCGACCTGGGCATCACACATCCCACAGAATTCGACTTCTATCTGTGCAGCCACCAGGGAATACAGGTGACTATATATTACTACAAAGTAATCTTCTATGAAGATGTACTTAAACAGTTGTCACTTCAGGTATAATTTAGTAATTTCAAGTAATCATGACCAAATAAGTGAGAAACAACTAATAATTATTGATTACTAGCTGTGCTCCGCGGTGCTACCCGCGGATTTCCGGGATGTAAAGTAGCCTATGTGTCATTCCTGTACGTCAGCTTCCTATATACGAAATTTTATCAAAATCGGTTCAGCCGTTTGAGCGTGAAGAAGTAACAAACATACACACACAGTCACAAACTTTTGCAATTATAATATTAGTAGAATAATTTAATAACGATTGATTATAACTTTGGTATCCAATATAAAATATGTGTTTAAAACAAAAAATAAACGTATAAAAAAACATTAATTTAATGTAACCATCAATAAGAAAGTGTAATGCTTCTATATAGAATAAAGTTATTTGAGTTTGAGTAAATATACATATTATATTCATATCTTGGTATATTATTTTGTAAATGTAATAATAAAATTTTGAAAGTTTTTGGTAATGTACGGGTGTTAATTAATACGATAAAATTAATCAATCGATTTGATTCAACTTTACTTTGTGGATGACTTCAGAATAAGGAAAAGACTAGAATTTATTTATTCCAGGGTAAATGTGGTTAAAGTATCTTTAACCACATTTACCCTGGAATTCGGTACTTTCCAACTTAATCGCGATTTGTGATATAATAAGAGATCGTGAGTCAGCAGACGTCGATATCGATCGAAGAAAATATCTATGATTTGAGCATATTTTAATAATTCTCCATCGTCCCATTTACAAAATCCACACTTAAGAAGTCACGGTCAATTACTGATATATATTTGAAAATGAAATGAAATTACTGATATATAATTGGAAATGAAAAAAACACAACATAATACAAAGAAATGTCCGGTGGTGCCCACACTAGGTATTCCTGTGTCGTGGGTACCAAAACCAATTTAAATAAAACAAATATATCTCTAATATACATACTAAACGACTTTATTTTTGATAAAAACTACATACATCAGCCACTTTTCAGCAACCGTGACCCGGTTAATAAAGTCGCGTAATATATCCGGAAAATATTATTTTCATTTGAATGAATAAACCTCAAGAATCTTAGATCTCATTTACTAATATATAGGTTTATTTTATTCCAGGGCACGTCCCGTCCATCTCACTACCATGTATTGTGGGACGACAACCACTTCGGTTCAGACGAGCTCCAGTGTCTTACATACCAGTTGTGTCACACGTACGTGCGCTGTACCCGCTCAGTGTCGATCCCAGCGCCCGCGTACTACGCTCACCTAGTGGCCTTCAGGGCGCGGTACCACCTAGTTGAGAAAGAACACGACTCTGGAGAAGGATCACACCAATCAGCCTGCAGTGAAGATCGAACGCCTGGCGCTATGGCCCGAGCTATCACTGTACACGCGGTCACCAAGAAAGTCATGTACTTCGCATAAGATATAATAGAATATACCCTCTATACTATATATATGTACTTCCTCCGAGACGTGTGTTCTATATCTCTACTATTCTATACATTACTGTATCATATTGACCATACATAGATGACGTCATCAACCTTAGTAAATACAACACGCTATAATTGTCTATGGATGTAATTCTATATTATGTGTGTAGTGATCTATCACTGTACTAAGAATTCGTCGGATCTCGTACTGTTTAAGCTCTCGCATTGATTTATTTCATGTATGAGTAGTTTCCAACGAATGGCGGCTGGGAGTGAGGTTATTGAGCTTGTTTTTTTCATTAATATATTAAGTTACATCGATTGTTCGTATTAATGAATTTAATTAGCTTTTAATGTATATAAAGAGGTCAGAGTTATAAAATATATGTGAGCTATGTGTTAGAGCTGGCTTTGTGAATGTTTAAGTCTTGATGACGGAAGCAATAATGAATATGAAGTGCTCTAAGAATTATTTCCCGCTTTTCAAAGTATCTCGTTTTTAATATTTGACTTACTATTAATGAATTTATTGATAGTAAATGAATTAATTTGTATTCCGTTCTCTCCGAGACATCTCTAACAATGGAACGCTACAAAGATGTTCAAAATATTCTTAAGATTTATATTTATTATTGCTTTAAACAAGTGCTTTAATGATAACGGAACTTATAAAATGCAATATCGTAAAAGTTTTCTATAATTTCAATTAAAATGGAGTCTAACTTATACAAGGGAAACTTGAATTAGTTAAAATAAATTATGTAAGAAAAAATCATGGAAGAATTCATAATCCGGTTTTTAATACTTGTAATACATTATCATTGGATAAAATATTGTTTGATATGAATTAAGACGTGCTATTGTGTAACATCCTACAAGAACAGCAGCGAAATATTTAATAGATTTAAGTTCAAAGTGATCCATTTCTACGGCAAATATAAAATGTCACCTGTATGCTTATTAAATATATTTCTTTCTCTATAAAGTATTTTACGTATACTACAATGTATTTTTTATCACTCGATACAATATCGTTTATATTTGTACTGATAACTTTCTTTTTGAATCATAATCGGTAGACGCTCTTAATGAATATGGCAAATGCTTTCGTATTGTAAGAATACTTTAATATATGTAATTTAATATTAATTAGATATTTATATATGTATGTCGTAGTATCGACCGCAGCGTCCGTTGGTTGTAATGAATACCGCATTTTCTGTGTCAGTTAAAATGTCATCGCACATTTATGAAATACATGGAATAACTGATGTGAAAGGTAACAAATATTTTGTAAGCTAAATAACGCGTTATACATCATGTTCGACAATGTTGCAATAGTATCGATGACCAAATATCTAGATTCTAGATGGTTCTTCGCTTTGATCTTATTTGTATACTACTATAGACAGTCTTGACGTTGTATGTATATTATACTAAATGGTCCCACGTGGAAAATGCTTTTATAAGAGCTGTGCGATACAAACATCTTATTCTTGACGAAAAAATCATTTTAGATTGAAAACTATTCTAATGCCGCCATCTTGTTGTTTCGCACGACTCTGTTGGAAGCGCCCTCTAGTATTAAGTAGTTAACTCTTTCATTATAGGAATAATCAATTTGTTTTCTAATTTCTACATATGTTGCGTAATAATTATATGTTGCTTTTAAAACGTTTATATGAGTACAATTTATACTTATATACTGTGTGTCGGAACATCTCGGACATATTTAGATTTAAAGTTTACAAGAGGTAACATTTTCGTTTGTGAGTTGGTTATGAGAATCTTAATGGGCTTAACAACTTCAATAGTTTTAAGGATATATTTATTTAATCGATCTGAACTTGTTTTCGGAAATGATCAAATACACACTTTTAAACATCTGTATTATGTGCTATTTGACGTCATCTTTGAATTGATATATAAATTAGAATTTTTTTGAGCTTAAGTGCCCTTCGCACTCTGCGTATGTTTCGAGGTGTCATTCAACCAAGTGGCAATATTTTTATAAACTTTTATAAATGTTCTTTACTTCAAAATTTTGTGTAATAGCCGATATGTTATCAATATATGACGTTTGTTGGGAATGCTCTTGCATTTTGTAATTTTTTTTTTTACTTGATTTATGTGAACATTTTCCAAACAAAAAAATTCTGTTGAGATCAATATTATATGTTAGATTGAAAAATATTAATCATATATGAACTATAACAATGGATCATTTTAATTTAATTACAATTATGTTATCATAAGTCGATTGAAAGCCGATAATATAATTATATTAGTATAGGATCAAAATATAAATTGTTGTCGATATCGAAATTAAAATTTAGGTTTTCATTTTTCTTTTAGTGTTACGTCGTGCTAACGCTTTCTTAGATGTATCGAAGAGCTCTAAAATATGCCGAGTAATAGTAATTAGTTATTCTAAAATCATTTGGTTTAATATTAATGATAATTAAGTTTTTTTTTCTGTATGCAATATTTTTATATCGTGATACCAAATGATCGTTTTTGTACCGCCTCTAGTATATAATACTTACATATTTAATCAATTCCACACTTTGATATATAATATCTGTCATAGGTTCTGGAAGTGTTGTGGCTGAGTCTTTATAAACTTATGTGTATTATATCGGGCCAAACCTAGATGCTTATTTAAAAAAAAAACTAAATCTACGTCAGCAGAAATTTCAAATATTTTCTAAAACGTTTTTTATACTCTACAAACAAAAAAAACAATTGTATTCAATGTAGTAGCCTGTCATTCATATATGTAGTAGTAATTGTAGTAGATAGCGTATAATTTTTATATTACGTCATATACTTAAGTTTATGAATGTGTAGAATTTCAGCGATTAAGGTTTCGATATAGATAATAAAATAGATTCCAAATTTTTCGTGCAGGGTATGCGGACATTTGAATATTGTAATTATTACGCTCATATCGCGTATTAAATATTACTAAACTGTTATTTATTTTATTTTATTTTTTTGTAAAAATGCATAAAAAATATATTTTTTGACGGTTTGGTATCTAATGGCGTACGCTCATTCTGATGTTCTGTCTAGTTTCGCTTCTATAAATGTTGGGCGTACGTCAGCAGATCGCCATTCCGTGTATTCGCTTATTATTTCATACGACGCCATCTTGTGCTCAGTTATAATAAAAATAAATCTATATAATTAAATCATCTGTATCAAGTGTAACGTTTGTGAGGACATCGTTTTATACAATCCCTATACACGTCCATCTTTCTAGTTTTATAAATTAATAATTATTTAATGTATTTTAACGTCCCGTGTTTTTTATATTGTAACTAGTCCGCCTTCCTTACTCTTAATTAGAAGTGTACTCGTCCGTTGAACTCAAATGAACCGTATAACATACATATCTTAAATAAAACAGTCTTGGAACAAATATTTAATATTGTATTTGTTGTGTCTGCACTCTGAATGAACTATGCTTTTTTGTGTTTCATATTTATGTTTCTATTATGAGGAATTGGTAATATTATATAATTTTTTTTTGTGTTCAAAGGAAAAGACTACATTTATTCAACTCAATTCAGCTTTTACGTACACATTTAAAGTTTGTTCAATATGTGCACCATATTAATAGAAGCTATATTTTGTTCTGATGACGCACATGCAATTGCTCCAGTGTTCATGAAATACATAAGAATTGTCAGTTAAATTGATAATTTTACTTTGGAGGGGCCAATAACAAAAAATTGGACAGAAACAGGAATAAGTGTAGTCAGTCCCTAAAATGGCTTTTAAAATATATAGATCATAGATTATTTGATGCTTTTAATTTAATTTTTTCTAAATCCTCTTAGTTTTTTTATCGATGTTTCTCGAATTTCACATGAACACAGTCATAAACAATAAAGACATTTTAAACTAGGTCCTTCAATCTAAGACAACGGTCGTGTTAATTTTATTTTGTATACTACATATGTGTGTTTACATCATATATGTTTCTTAACCAATACTGTAACACTAGCATACACAATGTTATTTCAAGGGAATTAATTGTAAGGTAGTTTAATAAAAACATCTGATTAAATTACATAAATTTGTTTATTAATTTAATGTAAACAATAGTATTATATTTAATTAAAGGAAAGCTAAGCATTTTATAAAAATATCTTCTTTTGAACTGGACTCAACAGGCAACGGCGAATTCTCATGCAACAACACATCAAGTGGTCACTGCGTCATAATTTAATTCATTATTCGACTTCAACAAGTATATAATATTCATATAAAAGTGCTAATCAAAGCTTTTCATACAATTATTTCGATATACCCTTCTCCATAACTCATTTACAATACATACAGTAACAAGATCAATAAATATTGCATGGAATGCTAAGAACAGTTAAAAGTTAATATAATTCAAATGTCCAATATTAGCCCGAAGCTTGCCATTTTATTTCTAACACTAGGATATATTCACGCCGCTTCGTTAACAAATTCAACAGAACTAATAAACAGCTGATACTGCCAACAAAATACACATTATAAATATAGTTCTGAATTTGATATTAACCAACTTTAAGTACAGCGATAGACACCAATAAGACCTGGCAACACAATAATCAGTAACACATGGCAATTATTGTGGGGTTTATACAGTGCTATGAAACTTAATATATTTGAACAATTTGGATACAAGATTTTTAATTATTTAATAAATCAATATCATCTCAAAAACATCGTTGACTGTAAGCTAACAGGAGTTTGCTTAAGAGATAAAATTAAATTTCACTTTATTTCAGAATATTATCATTTAAATCAGACTATCTGTAGCCAATCATAAATAATGAATGTTTCAGTATCATGTATAAGCCGGTACATTCTAGTCGACGAGCGTCGCGTTTATTTCGGTAATAATAAACGCTCTCTTTAAACTCAGAAATCGGTACTCCCTTTTACGAATATCACAAAATTATACCCAAATTATATTTTTAATACTACGACATAAACAAGTATCCAATATAGAAAATAAATATACAATTTCTAACCAACCGCAGATTTATTTGCAAACAATTTAAAACTGCGCTGGCGCGTTTAAAAAGCCGCTCGTTTTCTCACCTTCACACGTCAAGTATCGCTCGTGTGTCGTCTAGTATGTACCGCATTCAATATGTTAACGCGGCGTGTGTGTGTGTGTGTGTCTGTATGTATGTATGTGTCATTAAGGCAGTGGTTTGTTCTCCGGTATGGAGGGCGAGGTGGCGCCACTGGCCGAGCGGCTCGCGTCACGAAGGGCCTCGTCGAAGCTCTGAGTAGAATTGGAACGGGATGCTACCTTGCCCTGGGATGAGAAAATATTAAGAGAAGTTATTAATATGTATTAAAAGTGACTTATTCTACGGGTAAAGTAAACCAAGAATGCCTGTAGGCTGTAGCTATTAAGATGAAATTAGTTGGTAGGTAGTTATTTATTTATTAGGAAATTTATCATCAAGACCTATATAGGATGCGATTCATTCCCTTCGATAGATAAAATACAATACATATTAATGAAAAAATTCAAAATCTGCTTATATACTGACTCTAAGGCAAAACAGATTTTGCCCGGTCATATTCATTTCTAATACTTAAATAGACAAAGTCGCGCTCAACAAATAGTTAATTATAAAAAATAATATAATAAATTTTCTTTACATATCGCTTCACGTAATCTTATAACACGCGAAATATCGCGTTTCAGTTTACTGACCTCATTGTGACTTAAATGATATTCAAAATAATTGTTTATAAATAAAAAATATAAACGATACAGAAATATTTCAAGTACACCATTGAATTATCAACACAATATGAAAAGATAACGAATATAAGTCATCGTAAAATAATCAATAAATAAAATGAAAGGAATATAATAAATATTGAAGATTCTCTCGTGTGCTCGTTTAAATGAAACTAAGTTTTTTTCGTATACCACGTGTTTTTTATTATTTTGTAACTACACTATCCCGATGTTTTGGGTTACTTTACAGCAACCATGATCACGGACAGACGATATTGAAACCGAATAAGGAATAGAAACGTTCTAATACGTCAATATCCCAATGGGAATAAACGAAACGTCGGGATTATGAAGTTGCAAAATAATAAAATACCAATAATATCCAAAAACTAAAAGTTATATATTTCTTAATGTTTTCTATCGTTAGTGATGTAAGTGCAGTGTAATTTGACGGTTATTTCAATATACATTCTCTGTTGGGTACATTGCAGTATATTCCGAGGCCGTAAGCTTATTCTGTTGCGTGACGTTTAAACCTATTATTGTATTACAAAAATTCACATTTGTTAATTCGCTCATATGTCCTTGACTCGTGCGACTAATGGTATATATAGTTAAAAATTGCGAAAAAAGCGCCATCTAATAATTTTTCATTTTATACAAAACTATATAAAATGTTCTGCAAAAGATTTTTTTAAGAATTTCAATTCTATATAAAAATCTATATCAGACAAACTAGCTTACGAACATATCAAAATAAATGATGTTCATTCTGCAGTGTCTGATTCAGAAACTAGCACTTATTCGGATAAAAGTTTTGTATTAAGGAATAAAATAAAAGTAGAAACGAGAAAGGCTACCTTTTTTTCAGTAAAATTCAAAATTTTGCGCAAAAACTCCAATAATATTACGATCTTTATAACAGTTTCATCACTAAAATCCAGTAAGGGTCATACTTTTTTTCATAAAAAATCCAAAAAACGTCATAGTTTTTTCCCTAAAATTCCAGTCATATGGTCTGTTTTTCACAAAAAATCTAGTAAAATCATAATTTTTTCTCAAAAAATTAACAAGATCACATCTATATTTACCTTAACGTTCTCGTAAGCGCTCCCCACCCGCTCCTCTATGGATCTAAACGAGTCCGAGTTCCTCATCTGCCCGAGCTTGCTGCTCACACCGGCCGTGATGCCTCCTAGGATGGAGGTCGTCTTCTCAGCCGTTGATTTTATCACAGACTCAGTTTTTTGGTATCTATATAATAAATGTATCATTAATAATAAATATAGATCATTAAATATCTGCCTCACAACCATATCTATGTAATTATTATTTATTATAATTATTTCTTTTTAGACTATTAATTTAATGACGACACTCGATCGTTGAATCAAGTTTTTTTGTAATGACATACTTCCATAAACGTCACGTTTGTTATATTGAGATGTCATTAAAGTTTTGCAGGAAATGTTTACAAAAAATCAATAATATATTTAACTTAAATTCCCAACAAACTACTTCAAGTTATTTAACTTTAACTACTCTATGAACTAAACCTTCAAGCCGCTATCGATTTTAGACACCATTATGTTAAATATTAATATTTGAGTAAATTATACATGTAAGTTTATTATTTAATGGTTAATTGATATTGTTTATGTATATATTAATATATGTACATAATGAAAAATACTAAGAGATAATAATTTAATTGGATTAACAACCTTTCTTATGAGACCTTTTTATTGATAAGTCAATATATACAGTACACACTCAAACACATGTATATATTTAAGATAATTTATAAAACCTCACAATAAATATGGAATAAATTTCAAATATAAAAAAATATATATATATTTTTATTGTACAGGAAATATAATGTACTAGCTATTGTATGTAAATTATAATTGCTTTTATCTCATTAACATTGGGAATTTTTTTTTTATATTTCCGAACACGGAAATACAGTAGCATTTTCGTTACAGTAGCATTTCACATCAGAATAAACAGATGACAGTTGTTCATGCTTAAATATTCACACATAGTAAGTATCTAGTTATTAATTACTAGAAAACTAAAAATATATTTATTTTCATACTGTTAAAATGCTACAGGATTTTGTAGGAAGGTGGCAGTATATATTTAAACTTAAAATTTTACCCAATATATCATAATATATACATAGTTAGTGCTATCAGTTTGTCTGTGTGTTTGCCCTATATTCAGTTATTTTCGTGATTCGACCCAATCACACAGTTTAGATTAACTGATTACTTAGATAAGACGTTTATAAAGTTACTCTAGTTAAAAATACGAGTGAATTATTATAGTAATCTCAAGTAAAATATTTGTAAATATATGTTAAAACGATGATTGTTTGTCAATTATTACTATTTCTTATAAAATTAAACATATCAACACACTTAAATATAAATACGTTGAAAACTTAAAAATTATATTTTACTTTTACTTTTACTTAAAAATTATATTATTATTATTGTTATATTTAACTGAACCGATCGACGATCAAAAACGCTATAAGGCACCAGTGTCCAGTAGGGTTGTTAAACATTTTAATCATATTATGCCGGTATTAGACCGTAAATAGCCCTCACTTTATTAGCGCGTATTTATTATTTTTATTTAAATACATTTATCCCGATACTTTGATTTTTATTTCTTCCCGTACTTCCTAATGCAAATTTTTTACATGTTAAATCAACCGAAAAAGAACTAATAAATCATTGTTTCAGCCATTTCAAATAATAGCCACGATTAGACAGAAAAATATAGAAAAATTGTGTATAAATTGTTCTTATACATTACACAATATAAACTATATACAACATCGTTATCGGTAAAAAGAAAACAATATACATTTATTAACATAATATGTATATATTATATACCGGTGCATATATATAGTTCTAAGTAATAAAAAGTTAGATCTAAATAGAAAAAAAGCGGCACCTCTATCTACGAAAAAATGTTAAATAACCCAATAAATGTACATATACCTTTTAATATAATGAACTGGTCTAAACATATAAGGCTATGACAAAACTGACAGTAGTTTCATACGCGTTTTTTTAAGACTAGACTAGACTAGACGGTCTAGACTCTAGGCAGTGTTTCGAGCTAATTAATCTAACTAGTTCTACTAGTTCCAATTATCTAGCCAATCTAATTCTATACCAGTTCATTATACATAAAAAATATATGTTAGTTAATAAATATATATATTATATCCCTCAATTAATGTTTGCAAACGGCAAACAATACTTACATGTGCGTGTCAGTAACAGCCTTTGTAAGTTCACCCACGCGTGTTTCTATCGTTTGATAACTGGCACAAATTAAATAAAAAAAAAAATGTGAAAAACTATTAACCACCAAAACTATGTGAAGCTGAAGCGACTATGTAGCAAGCTAACCACGGCTATGTGCTGTCCAGTGTTAAATGAACTTGTATTTACTCACACTTGGCTCTCCTTGACGTTCTTCAAGCCCTGGTTGACGTCCTCAGTTATTTCCTTCCATACGGTGATGCCAAGTTTACGTTTCAAATCGGAGCTCTGGCGGATCTGGTGATAATTGTGTTTGTTATATATATATTATGTTTAAAATAGCCATAATTCCGATGGTTGGTGTCTTTAAAGCGTTAAAAGCAGTTCCTTAGCATATTGTTATCTATTAAGTATCATCATAATTGTATCTCACAAAATAAACTATCAATTATTCAATTCTTTTTTATAATATAACCCCCTCCAAATGAAAATGTTATGAAACCTTTCGTATTTTTACACAGAATAAGTTTTCTGGCCATTTTCCTACAGACTTTAAAAAACCCTAAAATATCTTTGCAACCCCAGTATACAAGTTGAAAGACAATATTCTATAACAATAATAATTTTGGTCACAATATAACGTAATGAGATCTAAGATTTTCGCGAGTACTCATTTAAATGAAACTAATATTTTCGGATTTTACTTCACATCTCGTCTGCCCGTGATCACGGTTGCTGAAAAGTAGCCGAAACGTCGGGAGTATGTAGTTTGTAATCAAAAATAAAAACGCGAAGTAAAATCCCAAAAAAAAAAAATATTAGTTTCATTCACAATATAACGGTTACATTATATAGCTAACAACCAACTAACTAGCCAACTAAGTGTTCATACTTTTAAATGGAACTCGTGATAGTCTTAGGTCTCATTATGTTCATACTTTGCTCTGTAACACAGTCCTCAGCGTTGATATCTCGTCTTCCACCCTGGCCAGTTCCCGGCTCCACTCAGCTCGTAGTTGTTCCGCCTGTTCCGGGGTCAGACCTGCCAGCTCGTCAGGGGTATGAGCGTCGCCAGCACCAGACCCTGGCATTGCTTCCTCGGCTGATAGAACAAGTATATTATATACTAATTTCATAGATAATTTAAGGTTTATAAAAAAGAAACTTCTTTAAGCGAATTTTCTATGACTCGTATTTTTGATGATGGTTATGTGAGAATAAATATAGTAATCTAAGGCTTGACGTTTCTAATTTTTGAGTATCGTAATAGACAATTGTTACTAAACAACGCAATTTTAATGATTAACATAAAAAATGTGGCCGAAAATTTTCTTGTTTTTTTTTTATTGTATTTTAATTGTTTCCATCAGTGTCGCTACACTACAATTTATATCGCAAAACTTAAATGCGATTGATGTCCAAAAAAAATAATATTGGGGATTAACTAGATATTCTATGTACATTTATATTGAAGGAAATTAAAATGAAAACAACAACAGTATTGATTAGATTTGAAAAATAGCGGTTTAAAAAACAAAAAAGACTCCACAGTTGTTTGAACGACACTATTAAATTAAAATATTTAGGAGTTAGGACATAATCAACGAAATATTTAGAATGGACCAAATAGAGCACAGAAAATCAGCATTCATACATTCAAATATCTGATACAAGTTTTGATGTAATTAAATGATAATCAGGCCCAAGGGAAAAAAATATGATGCAAATTTGGAACCAATAATATAAAAATGGTCTAATATGTTGTTATTTTAAGCTACAAACAATAAAACTACTGCTCTAGTATACATAGTAGTAATTTTCCTTAAGATCTTTATTCCTAAAATGTTTAAATAAAACATCAAAACTCTTGGTTTTTAGGGAAACAATGGAAACTCATACTTTATGAAATAATAATTACACACAGTTTTCTTCCTTTTTTTAGAAAGTGTCGTTAAAATTTAAATTGCATTAAAATTTAACAATACGTTTATTAACCTTACGAAACAGCGACACGAATTCAAACTTACGTTCATTATCTATACTTTCATATTTCATGAAATATCAAAATTAATTTTATTATATCAACATGTTTTCGTTTTTTATTTTCTATCACTCAAAAAGGTCGATAATTTACTTTGCAGATTTGTTTGACTTTGACCTTTTTAAAAAAATTAATATGGCTTATAGTCCTACACTTAAAAATCGTTATTAGAATAAAAATACATATAAGTATTTGAAATGGTTCACTTAAATATTGGATTTTAACCGACTTGGGAACTTTAACATACTACGTGTAATTAAAATTGACCTCAACTCCTCTAGAGTCTAGACCAGTATGGAAATATAAAAATAAACTTAATTGTAAGAGATAGTCTAGAACTTTAGACAACCTTAATAGTCTACTATCAAGGATTTTCATACATATTATTTTAGGAAAAAAATATGTGGCGAACCTTGAACTATTGTTCAAGTTGGTTACTTGACCTACCGCGCACACTTGTACGTCTGTACGAACAAACGCAATAACAACTGAAAAATACAAATTAGGAAAAAAAACTTTAACGTCTAATGTTATTTAATTTTTTTTATATATATTACATATGTATGTATTTGCAATATTTAATGAAAATTAATCACAAAGAAAAGGCTTTTTATTACTTACTAAAAGCTAATTAAAAGAAGTTTCATTGTGTTGAGTTAAGAAAAAAAGTAAAAATTTATATTTCTTAATTTCCTCAAAAATAGCAACCGTATTTCTAAATACTCGACTCGATTATAACCCGATTGATTTAATGCGTACAATACAAAATCGCAAAGATAAAAAATAATTTCATTTATAAAATATATTAAATGCTCCTTTTGTATAGAAAATGCGTATTAAGGTATATAAAAGCAGGGTCATGTCTGCTATTGTTAACAGAATACACAGTGAAAAAATAAACACGCATAATATGTAGGTTAAAAGTATTATTAAACGTCTAATTGCTCGGTAACACGAACGAATTGTGTAAGACATTGTTACATTAATGTTAATCTAATCACATTTTATGACTATCCGTATGTTATCGAATGAAATTGTCATATATATCGCTAGTTTTTTTAGGAAATAAAGTGAAATGGTTCGATCGAATTAACAATAGGTCGTTTTGTCCACGTGTCATTGTTGATAGTCACTGATATTTCATATGTAACTGATATTTAATACGCGATGAACATTGTACATTTCTTTATACCGAACATCAAACACTCACCTCCTGGCGTAATACCTAAAAACTTTTTGTAGTTCTTGTGGCTCGAGACCTTAGCTAGGTACGGTTTGGATAGATCCTGGAAGGTAACTCTGACTTCTCTTATTTTCTTCTTGAATATTCTCAATCTACGTCTACGATTGTCCATGTAGAATTCAGTTTCTATGCAGAGTGCTGATTCAGCGAGGTCGGGTAACGTGCGCCAGTCAGTTTCTGTGTCATCGTGAGGCCAGGTGACCGTATCACTCAGATCGTCCAATTCATCAACGGCCACGTCGAAGCTGGGTGTTGACTGGTCATCCGGAGGCACGAAGTACGGATCCTCCATGTACTCCAGGCTGGTCGGCTCGCACTGCGCCTCCGGATGGCTTAATCCATTCATCATTTCCTAATCATCTCTCACAACAGTTTAACATATTCCCAACTATATCCGTTACCGCTGTTATTTTTTCGTTCCGCATTAGATTTATTATAGCACATTAGAACAATAATAACTCCACCGATCAACGCACCGCACTAATTCACATGGATCACTAGTAATACATCGTGATGATCTCCATAAGAGTATAATCTTTTTAAAACGTTGTTGTGTTACGATATTAAATCGCGCAATATGTTTTTCCGTACCTTCCGCCACGTCGGGCCGCTAGCACGACCACTCGCGATCGTCTCGCGTCGCTGCCTGAGTTCTCGTATTTGCCACTTTCACCGACTATTAATCGAACTAGGTTCTGGCGATTTTTATTAGTAATCTGATCCTATAATTTGACATTTATTTGGGTTGTTTCATTTTGACATGTTAATGGACGTTTCGCGAAATGAATTCAATAAAATAAAATGCGAGAGTGAACAAAAGAAATAAAGGACAAAAGTTAAATCCAAAAAGGCGAGTTCGCCTCGTGTTGCTAAAGTTTATTGACAGTACGAGTGGCGGTGAACGGAGAGCGGAGCGCGGCGCGGGCGCAGACCTGCTCCAGCGACTTTGAATACAACATTTATTACGTCATTTTTTTTTTACCTGACGATACAGCTACAGCCAATACAAAAGTTCTTATTTCACAAGATAGAATGACTCACAAGCAATCGGTTTTTTACGAGAAGCAATGAAAATATTAAATACTTGTCTTTCCACTTCCAATATATATTTTAGTAAAAATAACTTTATAAAATACATATACCAATACTGTAGATATATATTTCTTTTAAACGTTACTTATAATTAATCTATAAAATTTATACTTCAACAGTTTTCTACTTTTTTCAATGTTTCTAATAATTCATGACGAACATTCATCATCACATGTAAATTACAATCTAAAATCATTTTACTTGATCAGTCAAAGGACAGCCATCTTTAGCTTCAGTGAATAAAAACCCATAATGTCCAATTGCAATATTTAAACTAAATATCTAAACTATCATATGAATTCATATGCAAATAACTTGTTTTCCTTCTTAATGAACATGTAAAAAGTCAAAACTCATTTACGTAAAGTTTATTGGGGATAGCACGCTGACTTACGAAGAATTATGTACAGTATTAGGTGGAGGCTTGTCTAAACTCGCGTCCTTTATCCGTTCTTTGTGACGACATTACTCCCACTGACACCAGGTCATTTTTTGATAGGAGAACCCATTCTTAATGTAACTGATATTGATTATTCTGATAAAAAATGTACTGGTCTGGAAAGATGGCATTTAACTCAAAAAATGGTTAACGATTTTTGAAAAGGTGGTCGAAAGAATATTTGTTAACTTTGGCTAATAGATATAAGTGGAATAAGAAAAACCCAGAGCCTGACATCAATGATGTAGTAGTGTTTAGAGACGATTTTTTGCCACCCTCTAAATGGCTCTTAGGAAAAATTGTTAATAAACATCCTGGCCGTGATAATATCACAAGAGTCGTTTTACCGTAAAATGTAAAAAATGGGATATGTTAAACGTCCACTTCATAAAGTTTGTGTTTTAACAAAATAAATATGATATTGTCATAAATTGAAGCGTATGTAACTTACAAAATAAAATATTTTTTCTTGATTAGTGAAAGGACAGCCATCTTAAGCTTTAATGAATAAAGTCCATAACTTCAAATTACAATATTTAAACTAAATATCTAAACCATCATATGAATTCATATGCAACTAACTTGTTTTCTTTCTTAATGAACATGTAAAAGGATACATAAATATGCAATTGAACCTAAAAAACTGTTTTTGAGCGATGAGTGGTTCTTCAAATTACTTTAGAGACCAAATTATTACTTAAAAAAGGTATGTATTGTTGACAAAACAAAGTCACAACAGAAGTCGACAAATACCAAACAACCCAAACGAGATAAATCACAAATCCACAAACAAAAGTACACCTACACCCATAATCCAAACACTCACAAAAACATAACATGGACAATTGAAAACTTAACATCAGTATCAAATAGGTAGAAAACACACAAAAATATGTGTTGGATAAATTCAAGATACAACTTAAAACTCAAAAAGAATCTAAAAAAACAAGCATCAGATGCATGAATAAATATCCCACAAGCCTATACCAAATATTTAGCAATTTTGAAATGTTTATAAGCATGTAATGCCAAAGAACATTTTCATTTAAATGGACCAAGATTTGTATGAATTGAATCTTATTTTATTTCAAAACCAACAAATAGAAGACATGCAATAATACCAGACATAAATTATGAAACAGCATGATTCACTAGCAATGACAGTTTATCTTAATGCTAAGTGATGAAAAAAATGTGCCTGTAGATGCATTATAATAACAGTAAGTGAATTTAGACTAAACTCAAACTATTATTAAGAATAGTCTTAAAAGGAATTAAAAGAATAGTCTTTTTATATAATTGGGAACCATCTTTGTAGTTGGTATAATGTGAAGACTTAGAAAATAGTAAAAATCTGTGAATATTAAATTTGAAGAACAAAGATGTCTCACAAGAGATCCCTAAAGATCGAGCAGAATTACTTGAAGAGATCATCCATTAGTATATCTTGTATATCATGAAACAAAATGGAAAAGGTAAATGCGTCATTGTTTCATATAAAAAAATATATTAAAATGCTTGGTAGTAGTAAGGACGGATATAAAAGAATGATAAGAACCATTATAATGATCAATAATAAACTTACTAAAGGAACATATAACATATTCATGTGAATATGTTAATAAACAATACATATATGATTTTTTTTTTCAACAATCTTTCAGTCAAACTACAAAGTTACAGAAAGACTGACAATGGTTCTCAAGTCATTTCATATTATTAGAGGGAAACTGTTAACTTTCTTAACCGTTTTGAGAGTTTTAATCATTTGAGTTGGAAAAACGGTGCAAACAGTTTTGTAATAAGTATTGAATTTTAAACAAACCCTTTTATATAAATATTTTCAGAAATTACTGCATTAACCAACTGAAAATACATATTTTTCTTCCTTAACCTTAATTTTGACCAATATAAAAGTGTATTTAAGAAAATCAATTGTATAAATATACCAATTTTTTTGTTTTATTCATAATAAATTGTCTGTATGTCCAATAATCCTTTAAAATTAGATTAATTGATTATAACTCCTAAATTATACTCTTCTCAATAAATATTAATGTTATATTTCACAGTCTATTCTAGATGAAACCATTACATCATGGAAACTAAGTGGTTTTTGTAGCTAATAGTTTAAAATACTTCAATACTATATCTTTGCTAACCTCTTAGTATTGAGGAGTGACTCATGCAATCAATACAATACAATACAAAATTGAAAAAATTCTAGAATACATTGTAGAAATTTGAAACAATGTTTAGTGATTTTGTTAATATACAAGCGAAATAAAAGGAGTCTTTATCAAAAAGTATATAACAATGATTTATTGTATTTACTGGAGGTTAACCAATTAAAAGTAATTGTTTCTCATATGATATAAATCAATTAACTCCTACAAAAGGAAATCTAGCAATAATAAAACCGATATTTTGTGCGAAATATATTACGCATTTTTTTTTGTCAATGTATGAAATAATTACAATACTATAACAACTTTATTATTGTAATTGATTATGTTTTGCTGTTAATTAATACCACCCTTCTAAATATAAATATTTAGCTAATAAGAAAAGTAATTTTATTGAAAATTTCATGTTATATTATTCTAAAATTAAAAATGTTTATTAATGTTTATGCCTTATAAATCTCTGAAAAATGCAATACATAAGAGAAAACTAGAAGATACGTAAGAAGAGATATATTTTGAAATATATTAATATAATACTGACCTGTTTGGACACCGCTCATTTCGATCAAAGGAAAATTATATCAGTCTTTAATATTAAAATATGTATAAATTGTAGTTTTGCAGCAGTACCCTCAGTGTGAAAATGATATTTTTAAGCTCGACTTCTTAGTTCTAACAATAACGGCAACTCAAAGGCCAAAGCTAAGTTTTCTGAATTCTTATTGTATTAAAACATTCACTAAGAGAAAAAACACAAACCAGATAAAAATAAAGAGAACAATGTAATGTGGCATCTGCAACAGATTAAATATATTTATAATATTATATTCCTGAACGAATATTGATGTAGAAATAACGAAATGTTATAGGGAATGATGATAAAAAAATAATTTACCTATAATAAAACTTAAATTGAAAAAATGTGGTTTAATTTATTTTAACACATTTAATTCTGAATTAGTATCTTAATTCAAATTTTAAAATATTACGTTGTGTTATTTGTAAAAATAATTTATTTACTGTATTTTAAGACCAGATTTTAAAAATAAATTGTATTTAAACTTATCATTATCTGTATAATATTGACCAAAGCCTTTACTCAACATAATAATTTAAAAAAAAAGTAACTATCAAAATTGTCTGTTCATTGTCAATGAGTCGTTTGCATTTCCTTTTCTTCATTCTTGTCTGTTGGGACCTGTCCATTGGTCGGAAAATTTTACAAATTTTGCTGATTAAGTAATAAGACAATAAACGGCAGTAGAAACAAGAAATAACAGAGTCCTTTAGGTGTGTATCCGTATAAATATAATAATTCAAATAACAAAATAGTAATTATGCCATATATTTTGAAACTTACAAAACAAAACTACAATTTTATCTAACTTCATTAAATTGCTTTATTTCAGTATTTGAAATATATTGGAAAAGAAGAACAAAATGTCCGCGACGGCATTGTTTGGCAACACTTCAGGTCTGGGAGGCAGTTCTGGTGGGAATAAACACTTAGTTGAATTTCGGGCTGGTAGAATGACTCTTAAAGGACGAATGGTACATCCCGACAAAAGGAAGGGTTTATTATATGTGTATCAGGGTGAAGACTCATTGATGCATTTCTGTTGGAAAGATCGTACAACTGGTGAAGTTGAAGATGACCTATTGATCTTTCCGGATGACTGTGAATTTGTGAGAGTCAATGAATGTACAACGGGAAGAGTATATGTATTGAAATTTAAATCATTCTCAAAGAAATATTTCTTCTGGATGCAGGTATGATATAAGATATCAATTAGCCAAACATAACATACTTACTAATATTTAAAGTGCAAATATGTATATCACCGATTGCTTCTATACTATTTGATTGTGGTTACTTATGCATAATCAAATTCAGTGGCCATAAATTTGTGCCAGTCATTCTGATATTATTACATAATATTATGAAAAATATTCACACCATATTAAATTGCAATACAAAATAATGAAAACCATCATGTATTCCTATGTTTGCATAGGTAATCTTACTCACTTATATTATTGGTAGGATTATAATAATAACTATGTAATAGGTAAACTAGTCATTTTAATTAACAAGAATTATGTATAGATATTTGTGTATTGAAAGAACCAGATTTATTATTACCTCACTAATACTGATTTGGCTCTTTCAGTAGTTTCTTTTCAATGAAATGACCTCTTTAAAGTAAATTTACACATGTCATAATTTTTCAGGAGCCAAAAACTGATAAAGATGATGAATATTGCCGTCGTCTCAATGAAGCGTTGAATAACCCACCAACATCTGGTGGTCGTGGTGGCACCGGGGCTGGTGCCCAAGATGGTGATTTACACAACCTTCTCAACAACATGTCTCAACAGCAATTGATGCAGTTATTTGGTGGTGTCGGCCAGATTGGTGGTTTATCATCACTGTTGGGAACTATGGGGTAGGTTGTTATACTTTTACTGACATACAGACAGTTTCAAGTTTATCATTCATATAATAACAAGGAAATATCCATATTTATTTTGACAGTCTCAATGTAAGGCTACTGATTTCTGTTATTTGATATGTTAAATTTTTTTATATAGGTTTGGAATTTGGATATACACAGTCCACTTTATAGTGTCAACTTTTAGCATAACATATGTATTAATTTTTTCTTACAATAGGCATATAATAATGTTATATGCATACATTTCCAGTAATAACAGTAGCAGTGGCAACGCAAGTCGTCCATCTGGGAATAGCAGTAACTCCCGTGGTGGTTCAGCTCCGAGGTCCGAGTCCACAACACGTACACCAGCACGAGCACGTGATGAAGCCAGACATATTCCCATCCGAGCGCCCACACCTGCTACTGTTCCCGCTCCTACTGCCACCCCACCCAACACTGCCACTGGAACTCAACCTCGTAGTGAGTATACATTTTATTAGAGCTTTTTAATTTAGTTATATATCATGTATTTATTTCATTATTCAGTTTTCCAAGTATTCTAGTGTTATTTGGTATAAGATAAATTAACTATAGCTAGTTAGGAGAAATTAAATATCTGTATTCAGTTACAGCAAAATGTGTTTCGGGCTTTATATGAAGTCTAAAATAAATAAATTGTAAAGAATTAGCTGAAAGTTTAGTCGGCAATAAGAATTAAAATAGTGGAGATATTTTTGTTCCTCATGTAATATCTTAAAAAAATTACATGTTTTTTACAAGTTGTCCTTAAGCAAATTCTGAGATCAGTTTGCAGGTAAAATATCCTCTGCGCTTGGATTGTGTTGATACAGTTTTCACTAATACTGTTATTAAAGTGTATAAATGAGTAAACCACGTAGCGTAGTCCTCGCCTCCAGGGTGAGTATGAAGACTAAGTTGTGGCTTGTTTACATTTTGTTGCTTGTTTTTTTTAACAGGTGGTCAGATATTTCTATCCGACCTGCAGCGGTATTTCTCCGGTCTAGGCAACGCACCACCGGAGGGCGAAGGCGCGGTGGGTGGGTCGGGGGCTCCCCGCGTGGAGCTGGGGGCTGCGCTGGCGACTCCAGAAGTGGTGTCAACGGCCAGCGAGCCAGCTAACTCCCAGCGGCTCGCCCCACACCTGCCGCCCGCGCCGCCCGCCGCCCCCCAGGACGATGTAAGGACCACACTGCTCTCACCGCAGTTCGCCCAGGTGAACCCTCAAGTATTGCGACATCAGTGCCCTTCTCACAAGTTAATCGTCACATTACATACGGACTATTTCTATTTTTTCATTAATAAAAGATTTCAATAATAATATTGACGTAGATATACATATATATAGATGGAAAACTGGAAAAGCTCCGAATGTGGTTTGACAATGTAATGTTGTGGGAAGAGTACTGATCGCCCTCCGGTGACTGTTAACATACGCTCGTTGGCGGTTGAGAGCATGCAGTGGAACTGAGACAATTTATCAGCAATATATATTGTTTTAAAAATATTTGTGGTAGAAATTATCTATTAATATAAATACCTTTCCTTACTATCTCGATTGTATCACTATGTATTACTGTTGAAAGTCTCTTCATTTCATTTTAAAACTAGAGGGTTTTCAAGGGTTTTTTTTTAAATTTTGGTTTTCTTATATTATGTTGTATACTTTTCTAGTCTCGGTAATATCACCTTGTCAATGTAATTTCAAGTAATGTATTCATTGAAGACTCTTTTCTGAATAGATAAGTTTTTTATTTTAACTTAGCATAGATATTGTGTTTTGAGTGATTCAATAAATATAATATTGCAGGCAGCCAATCAGTTTTCATCGGCTCTAACATCCGGTCAAATGGGACCAGTTATGACCCAGTTTGGACTTCCGGCTGACGTCACTTCTGCCGCCAACACGGGAGACATGCAGGCCTTCTTTAAAGCCTTAGAGAGTGCGTCTTCATCTGAAAGCGGCAAATCCGAAGGAGACAGAAAGAAAGATAAACCTCAAGATGACAAAAATGATAAAAAAGATGGTGATGCTGGAATGTCACTCGATTAATACAATGAGATTAATTATATTCATCATATATTTTCATATTTATATTTGAAAAGAAAATCTAATGGTTTGTGTGCAGTTTTTTGCTAATAAAGTCTTTTCAAAATATTTTATTAAATAAATAGATTAGCTGTCTTGATGTTGCAAAATTTTTAATTCTTATTCGTTAATTTCTGATGTAATGAGGTTTTTTTTCTTTGAATAAATAATTTTAAAAAATTTATAAAATCTTTTGTATTTGTTCTCTAACCTTGATTTTTTATAATCCTTCGTAATGTGTATATTTACCTGTATAAAAATAGTTTTTATTTAATAGTCCAATTTAAATCATTTGTAAATATGTTTTAATTCGTGAGGATGGAATCAATGTATTTATTTTACTATTTTACCTACTGTCAATAATACTTTATGAAATGGTATGCCATTTTGAATCATTTCAAAACACTGGTACTTACATGAAAAGGAATATACGAAAACATTAAAAAAAACCAGTGTATAAAAATGTTAGTCATTGCCTTCCTGAGAAAAAAATTAAGTTATATTATTAATTGAAAGCCAATGTGACTAACGAGCATTATTTAAATACATATTACTTATTTATAGGTGATTAGTAATTCAAATTAGGTCACATTATAACTAAAATAATTGTAACTTATATTCCTCACGATAACGTAAGCAAAACCTTTTTTACCGCCAAAGTTTTTTTTATAACCAAACGTGTTGTTCGTGACGGTTAATTTTACTCATAATTTTTAAATACAACACAACAAATTGTTTTCATATCCACATCCTTTCAGTTTGCCAATTTTGATTTAAATAAGAACCATGAAAGTTTATAACATAGAATAAAAATATGAATAAAACAGCTAGGTTATAATGTTTGATTGACTAATACGGATTTCACAATTGGCGGCAGCTAAGGTTGCGCGTGACCTCGTCGGAGGCGGGGAGGGAGGCGCTGGGGAATCCTTCTGGCGCCAGACCGCAGCGGCGTCTGCCCGCGCCCCTCGCCTCACCCGAAATAGATGGACGGTGATTTACGCCTGCGTATGAGTAAATATGTTGCTTGCCTGCCTGCCTTGGTATGTCCGCGCGCCCCCGCACCGCGATCGCCGCGCTACTCGCTCCGAGTCTCGATGTCGCGTTCGAAATTCGAATGTATTGCGCGGTCGAACGGGTAATCGCGACCTACCACGTCTCCGATAGAATGCACGCGTGGGCACATGACGTTGATATAACATATAATTTATGAATAACAGAGCTACAAAAATAGTCTCCGGTGAGATTCATTTCGGCAGCATTTAAGTATTTTTGGGCAGTGTTGGTAAAAATAAAATAAATTGAGATTGAACAAAGAGTAGGTATGATATTTTGTAAAAAAAAATATGTGTTTGATTAAATTTTCCGTATACATACTTAGTAATAATAACTAATATTTGATATTAACTTTTGCTATTTCTTAACTTCATTCTTAAATAATAATACTTGCTTCGTAATATAATTCCTGATATTTGAACAGACAATTCACATTCGAGAGCATTCGTTCATTAGTGGTAGTTTGCCAGAGCCGGAGCAAAAAGTGGCGTCATGCCTCTTACGACCGGTCCCACAGGTTCTTATATTTCTCTGCCCGAGGATTACAATTTACAGTCTCCTCCATTCATCTCAATACGGCATTACCTGGTCTTGTATACAACTCACTAAATTATTAACTATAGAGAAAAAAAATAATTTAACAAAGGAGTTACAGTCTAAATTGTTGTTAAAATTAAAAAGTAACACAATTTAAGAAAATATTCCATTTTAATAGCATAATATAATTGTTTTGCGAATAAAAAATCTTTGTTGTTACCTTAAGTACTATGTCTAGATGCCTATCAAATTTTATTATGATACGCTCGCAAAAATAAAATATACTTTTCTATTTTATCTGAGGTAAAATTAAATAATCTGTATCGATTTTATTACACACATTTGTCTTATTTCTATAAAATTATATCCCCTTAATAAGTTCATAATATTTCTATTACATTATTAAATGCACTTAACACTTTCTGTAAGTATAGTGGAAAAATACTTATTTCTTTATTATTGCTTATCAACAAAAAACATGCTTAAATAGAAAGTTTTATAATCTTTATTTGTCATTAAGTTTAAAATTCACAATGATATGCATAAATTATTATCAGTAACGACATACAGTACACATTGAAGTAGACACAACATGTGATATGAGAAATACATAATTATAAACATTGATATAGATATGTACTTAAAAGTTAAAGCATATTTCATAAACAACATCATTTTTAATTCTCTATCGCCAATAAAAGCGTCCTGAGACCGAATTTTTTTGAGAGTCTGTCGATTTTCAACACTTTATTTTCAGGATCGTGTAAAGATATCAAGCTAAAATTTATGTTAAATAATTAAGTCTGCTTAGATCAGTGCAAAAATATGTTTTCTCTGTTACAGTTATCTAAATATAACCTACATTATGATCCTTTTATTTCTTACTAGCTTTCCGAACGCAGCTTCGCCCGCGTAGAGTTCGGTTATATCGCGTTTCCAAGAGAACCTTTCTAAAGTCTGGTATAGAAACAATCCTATGTTCTTTCTCAAGGTCAACTCTATGTCTGTACCAAATTTCATTAAAATCAGTTCAGTGGTTTAGGCGTGAAAGTGTAACAGACAGACAGAGTTACTTTCGCATTTATACCTAATATTAGTAGGGATGTCAATAAAGGCTTGTCAATGACAATAAATAAAAAAAAAACTGTCATGTAACGGATAATCTGAGAAATATGGATATTTAAAGATAATCACAAAAATATCATTTTGTAATCCGGCAACTCATTCCTATGTTTATTAATGTAAAAATATTTTCTTCTTTCCCTACGTTTCATGTTTTGCTTAAGAGATATGTTCCTTAATATTATTTTATTACAACTTATTTAGAGAATCACTAATTGAATTGTCACAATTTATACCCTTTTACGACATCCCTTCGACATCGAATCCTTGGATTGCAAGTCAGACATCGCCTTGGTATTTTTATGACTTCAATCACTTACTCAAGACGTGGGAAGGTTTTAGTTATATATACTTATTAAATTGTATTTTTTCTTATTTAAATGAAGTAAATAATTAATGCACGCGTCTTAAGGGTCATCATTAATACAATGGCATGTGACCTACATTGAATTTAACTCTACAATGTAATTACGACAAATCGGTACTGGAAGAATTTCTTTAAAAAAATATTTTGGAGATCCACATTAAAATGAGAAATGCAAGCAAATTAATATAAAGAATATTAAGAATAGGACTCATATACTTCATATTATTTGGTCGTATATTTTAAAGGACAATACTTACGTATTATTGATATTAGGTATATTATCTATACTTATATACGAATATGTTATTTTTTGACTAAGATATTTTTATAATTTATTTTGGTGAAACGAAAACAGCGAGCAGTGTGAATCATGACGAATGTGTTTTCATCTGACGATATTACTTAGTTATTTCGATTCGTCATTATTATATTTCGGAAAGGTATTAATACAATTAATTGCTTATAATAACATAACGAGCGGACATCAAATAACTTTATAACTGAACATTCGATTATTCTTAATAACAACATGAATTCACTACGAAAATTTTTCTTTTATTATATAAAACTATCTAGAAGTAGGTATATTATAAAATTAACTTAAAGTTTTAGAAACTACAACGTAGATATTTTTAGATTTTATTAAGAAAAATATATTATGAAGGAGGTGTGAACGTCGAGTCACAGATTCCTTGTCACAGTGACTATTCATGAGATTACCCCGTTGCCATGGTAACGGACACCAACCCCCCGGGCGCCATCACAAGGGTGTCGCTAATATGTAAATAGAACAACCTACCTCCGTATACAAACTTCAATTCTTAGGTTTGATTGGAACTATGACTATTTCTGGACTTAAAATTATGATACGTTATCACGTATTCTGTCACTTTCATGTGAATAAAAAGGATTTATATTTGTTTTTAATTATTAATATTATTATCGGCACCTATTTTGTGAATGTCCTTAAATAATTACAAGAAATGATTAATGACTAAAAACATGTTCAATATAAATAACGATCTAATAACGAATACAAGGCAAATTGGCAATAAAACTAAAACTATTATAAGTATTTATCATTTCTTTTGACGAAATTTTGTTAATATTTATAAGAAACGCGTCAATATTCAAATGCCAGCTTCACTAACGATACTGTTATGACTGTATTCCGCAGTCTATTTGGTTAACTTCCGGTTTTACGTTCTATTTATAAAAATGGAGAAACATTCATATTTGCAAACTTTTAAAAACTATTAATTGGGGTAAAATGTGGAAAAATTTGTTAGTGATTTCACTATATACATTCGTCCGATACAGTAAATTATAATCTTCCTTTTAAAATGTTGTCAATATAAGAAAAACTCGATTCAAATAGAATTATAAATTAATTAGGTACAGAATCATTTTATAGTTGATTTAGATGTAGTAATGCCTGCCACACTTGACTATATTGTTATCTTAAAATGTGATTAAAACAATGAAACTGCCCTTTAATATTTGGGTTTCATTAAATTAATGGCGAGGGACTTTCGCAGTTATTAATAAAGGATCAGCAGAAATTGGTCATTCAACTATTTATATTCAAATTAAAAGAACTAACGTTTAAGGTCATCCTAAAATGGTCAAAAGTCAAAATCAAATCCCTATACTCTTATTAAAATCTATAATCAGGTACAGCAATTCTTATTCCTACAGCCAAAACATTCTCTCCGTACGTAACTTGTATTTTTTTTTATTAATGAGGGTCGAGTAGAACTATAATAACAAAGATCCATGTTCTAAAATAGCTGCGATAGTGGGAAGCAAGGTGGATTCTCGGAAATATAAGAATGGTAAATGTGAAAAAGCTTGTAATCCGAGGCGGGAGGGGGGTACAGGG